TCATTCTATGTTCACACGGCTTAGACGAAATGATACAGAAATGAACATTCATTGTTCTTTCTTTTAAATATGTCATCGAATGAAGTCGTACGTCTTGGAATTAGTTTAATTTGTGATCATTTAATCAAAGAGTTGACAAAAAAGAAGCAAAGAAAATGTCGACGGTGGTGGGTGCGACCATGGATTGAAAGAATAAATTTATTAGGAGCTTCCAATACATTGTTGAGAGAACTAGCCGTTGAAGATCCTGATTCATATTGTAATCATCTTCGAATGGATGAAAGTAAATTTGAAGAAAAGTTAAAAAAAAGTTATAACTTCGTCGACAACGTGATGTCCGTCGGCTACAGGACTCGAAACAAAATGGCCGAATCCGAATGAACGTTCTCTCAGTGTTCAGACCGTTCATTTCTCGTTCATTCGGAGTGGGAATGAAAGATACCGGATGCCAATATCCAACACTGTTGGATCGGTTCACTAATGAATTCATTCGGCACTCGTGTTTCATTTTTTGTTCAGACATTTCATTTCGAGTGAAATGTACCGAATGAAAGGTGAAAATGAACAAAAAATGAACCGTCTGATATCACCTTAATGCCCCTGACATCCTTTGGATGTTCATGTCGTTTTCGATTTGTGCTTGTTTTTTTGTAAATTACTTTGTAATTATTGATGCACCAGACTACAATTAAAAATACTGATTTATTCGTGGGGCACGAGTTCGGTCACAATTTTTATTTTATTAGAAATATTTTATTGATTTTTAATTATCTATGTTAGGATGAAATGTATTTCATAAAAATCGAAACCGCTTGTATAACAGAACTCTGTTATTATTTAAAAAAAAATACAATGTAATTATATTTGGCGCAATGCAGAACGCCGTATATACTAAAAATATACTTTAAATAATTGATAACTTTAAAAATAAAAAGTAGACAAATTTTGTAGGAATAATACATATTGTATGATAAGTCGGTAATGCCCCTGACATCCTTTGGATGTTCATGTCGTTTTCGATTTGTGCAAATATAGACTGTTCAAGACGATTAAATGCACGTCAATACGTAACAATCACTTTCTATGTAGGTAATATAAATAGCACGAAAATATTAGAAGACAACATTAATATGTAAAATACTTTCCTTAAATGCGTTTGTCATTCAAATTACAAATTTTAACAACACACAAAGCTACTAAAATTCCTTCGTTCTATATTTTTTATGTCATAAAAAAACATCAGTGGCGCTAGAACCTCTTTAGGTCTTGGCCTCAGATTTCTGAATCTGTTTCATGATCATTTTTAAATCTAATAGGCAAGTAGGTGATCAGCCTCTAGTGCCCACAACACGCCGTCGACTTTTTGGGTCTAAGATATGTCGGTTTCCTCACGTTGTTTTCCTTCACCGTTCGAGCAAATGTTAAATGCGCACATAGAAAGAAAGTCCATTGGTGCACAGCCGGGGTCGAACCTGCGACCTCAGGTATGAGAGTCGCACGCTGAAGCCACTAGACCAACACTGCTCTTTTATGTCATAAATGAACACATATTTGAAAGTACCCAGGCTTCGAATCATACCGTCACATTCATTTTAATCAATATCAGTCAATGTCGTATCCATTTAAGCAAATATGAGCGAGTACATATATCCCGCTCTTTTCCCGTTAATAAAGAACATTGACCCGTGGTCCACTTACAAAATCTAAACACATTTTTCTAACAGGTATTTCCTCTTAAACGTAGGGAATATTTTGCGCGTGAGAAAGCTCACTTAAGGAACGTGAGGGCTGCGCGATAACACCTGCTTGTACATTTAATTACATTTTTCATTTTGAATAAGGTTTCTTAATTACTTTATTTTGATTTCACAAATGACTGTGGCGGTTTTTTCCCTTCAGTAATAATGTTCTGGATGTAAATGAACAAATGGTTTCAGATTCGTATTGCACACAATATTTGGTTAAAACGGTAGTATTGATTTTGTAATTTAACAACGTACAGCGCCATTATCTTTTACATAGACTGATGATTTCCATTAGTATCGGTGTCAATTTGTTTACAATTCATAAATATATTAAGCAAGTAAATTTCGGTATAATTTAACTTGAACAATATTACAATATCATAAACTCAAAGGTTGATGACTAAATGCCGTTGTCTCCTATTAATTTTGGCTAAACAAGTAACTTTTTTGTTGTTATAGCTGCCAAATCAATCATAAAGTAATCATTCGATCAAAATGTGAGATTCGGTCGTGTCAGAGTGTTAGGCGGATAATACAGGGTAGAGGCGCCGCGGTGACGCCCGCCCGCCCTCTGGCGCGCCTGCTCCGAGCGCATCCGAGCGCTTACGATCGTTTCGGGCCGAAACGATGTTTGACGAACGCAGCCTCCCTCTGCGACGCGTGCCGGATCCAGTCGCAGTGAGAACCGCCTGGGCGTTGGAGCGATTCCGTGTGTCCGTTGTGCGGTTATGTAACTCAATAACGTTATTTATTTATCAACTAAAAAATTACACCCGATCGCGGTACAAACTTTTCGACATTGGTTATTATTATTGATACAATGGATTGAGATATAATTGTACATGTGCTAGTGATGTGTACCTACGCCTTTACTCCCGGTAACAGAACGTCATCCGTACAGGTTTATTGCTTTATCAAAAACATCAGGATTGTAAATTACTTTGTAATTATTGATGCACCAGACTACAATTAAAAATACTGATTTATTCGTGGGGCACGAGTTCGGTCACAATTTTTATTTTATTAGAAATATTTTATTGATTTTTAATTATCTATGTTAGGATGAAATGTATTTCATAAAAATCGAAACCGCTTGTATAACAGAACTCTGTTATTATTTAAAAAAAAATACAATGTAATTATATTTGGCGCAATGCAGAACGCCGTATATACTAAAAATATACTTTAAATAATTGATAACTTTAAAAATAAAAAGTAGACAAATTTTGTAGGAATAATACATATTGTATGATAAGGAATATTTGTTATAAAAACAAATGATATGGGCCGAGTTGATAAAAAAAAATTTTCATCCGAGCATCCGATTAATTGAGATAAATTCAGTTATATTTTATTCAGCCAAAAATCTACTAGTTGAATATGAATTGACCTTATTTCTTTCAGACAATTTCAGCGTAATTTAATGCTGATATCACGTCTATTGATGCGTTTCTGTGCTTCCAATTATATATTAAACGATATGATTTACATTAATTACGAAATTACAATTGAAAAATACAAAAAATATTGTTTCATATATACACCAGTTATGTATCAAAAGTAATGTGTTTGACACTGTCAAAATTAAAAAAGGCATTCCTTTAAATTGAAATGATTTGTAGGTTTACGCCGAATTTCATATGTCAAAGCTTTTTATGTTAACACAAATTATTTTAATATATATTTTCATACTAAAGAAATAAAATTTTGTTGTACCTGCTAATGTTTAAATTTACATTTTAAGCCTCGTATCTGCGAGGACAGCGCCGGCTGAAATAATTGTTATATTGTAATTTTGGAGTAAACGGTTAATTGCAGGAGTTTATTAGTATGATAAAATTATTCCATTATTCAGTAAATTTTTCTATATCAACGCTGGTACATATTTATAACTAAAACAACATGCATTAACTGAAGATACCGAAATGATTTTTTAAATAACAGAAATAAAATAATATATTACCTATACTTATATTATATATTATACTTATTATAGTAAATAACTTTGTAGGACGGATTTTTTTTTTTAAAGGAGGACGGATGAAGTCAAAGTTAGTGATGCCTTTGTCTTACTGTTAATAAAAATTCAGTAAAGAAATATATTTAATTTATTATGGGCGCTTAGTACACTGGTTCGATCTAGACTAATGAACATGAAAAATATTAAAGCAAAGCAAACGGTTATGACTACTACACACAAGTACAATATTAATTTATGAGTGAATATGATGTCACTACAAAGGAATATTTTTATTTAACGAAATTGAATTTATTAATTAACAAGTTGACAGTTGCATAAGAACATCTTTCATTTGAAAAAAAAAACACAAAAATACAGCGTTTTATCTATTTCCATATGAATTCATAATTTGAATAGGTTTAACCTATTCAGGTTATAGACGCGTTCAGCCTGTTAAAATTTTTTTCAGTATTAATAAATATTATTATCGATAATACGATATACGATCGATGCTTATAAAAGAAAATAAGGGTATTACCTTATTTTTAATGCTACATTGTATTTAACTAAGTTATGGGTTTATTATGGTAAATATTTCTTTGTGTAAAAAATCATCCTTCATATTATTCATAGATATCTGAGTTTAATGCTTCCGAAGTTCCTAAAACACAATAATTATTCTATAGAATATCATAAAATTTTGTCACTTAATGAGGGTATCATATAGCGTTCTACTTCCCAGGGGTAACGCAGGCTGTTAGTAAAATTAAAACAGTCTAATTCTTGCAATAAAGGAATTCGTAGTTTTTACTAGTCGTTGCTTGCAAATGTGCAGGAAGTATAGAAAAAGATTTAAAATAGGCCCCACTGATCAATCAAAATCAATCGCTGGAAAATCTCTGTAATTACACTTAACCACTTTTAAAAATGCTACTTTATTTTTAAAAGCTCTAGTAATGAATTTACTAGAATTTAACTTTCCATGTATATACTACACGTTACACAATTATTGTGTTAGAAAAATATTCTAGGTAATTGTCCAATGTCGCCGCATGAATCAGTCAGTTTCTGGCTGGAAAATTTTAATTTACAATCCGATAATTTTATTTAATATTTAAAGGCTTGTAACTAATTGGACGTTTAAAATGACTTAGTGCATATTACTTTAATTAAATCATCATATAATGTGCATGTGGAGTGTATAAACAATTAAGACGAAGCGAAAATGAAGAGCGTTAGCTAGTAGTAATGAGGTGACGTTCGCGACCCGGCCGCTGAAGCCGCACCTGCCAATGATGGTGGAATCGCACCGCCCGCCGCCGCCTCGGTGTGTGCGTGCGCCGGAGCATCGGGCTAAGCCCACTTCAGCCTCCGCGCCCGCCTCCCTATCCGGTAGTGGCACTGCGATGCACCTGCGACGTCGCCGACACAAGACAGTCCACTTTGGGGAGAACCTCCTCATGCAAGTTTGCGCCGATCGGGCGCATTTAGCCGCACTCGGGGCCAGAATACCCGATATATCCTTTTGCCACAAATCGCACACGGGCCTCGATAAAGGAGATGCACGCTTTTGTTGTGTAGCACACCACTGTTGTTTAGCTTCAGGTGCACTTGTAGCATTGACCTCGAATGGACGTCCCAAGCCCCGCCGAGACCGTAGCGGAGACTCGCATTCCAGTGGCGGAGAAACCGGTGATAAAGGAGAGGGCGATAACGACTCGGCTCCGAGAGGAGCGAAACGAAAGGGAAGGCATCACCATCATCACCGCCACCACCATCATCACAAAATACACACCTGCCCCTACCACGATACCGCTCCTCCACCAGAAGATGAGCCTGAAGAGAAGGTGACAGTACCACAAAAAACTGTTTCACCGTACTTATACATACCTAGTAAATTAGAACCAAATGTGCAACAGTTATTTAGTTTTATTGAAGGCGTGTTGAGTGCTTGGGCCGCTGAGGAAGGTCTCACTAGCACCGGGGAATATTCTGAGCCCGATGAACGCATAGTTCGCCGCAGAAAACTCAATAAATATAAAAAACGCACAGACGTCCTGAATATTCGACGCATTGTGTATGAAGTTTCTATTCTCCAAGGTGCTAAGTTGCTTGGTAACGTCCGGTTTCGGCATTATCATTGGAAGGGGACGGCACAAACTTGCAATGAAGCCTTTTTAACTAAGGTAAGTTTTCGAACTATATATAGCGTCTCAAATTAATTAGTTAAAACTAGTTGATTACATGCCAGGTACTAATTAAATCTCTATCTCTCTTGTGGTGCTTCTTGAGTTACCAAAGGGCCGCAGTCATTCTCCAAAATCTCTCTTTGTTCATCCTAAATACATCTAAAATACACTGTATAATACTAACGTCCATTGTACGTTATATTAATATATAATTGAGGCTACTATAATAATATAGTCAGTGGCGCTAAAACCTTTTGATGTCACTGCCTCAGATTTGTGAATCTGTTTCATGATCATTTGTCAATCTAATAGGCAAGTAGGTGATCAGCCTCCTGTGCCTGAAACACGGCGTCGACATTTTGCGTCTAAGGCAAGCCGGTTTCCTCAAGATGTTTTCCTTCACCGTTCGATCGAATGTTAAAGGCACACATAGAAAGAAAGTCCATTGGTGCACAGCCGGGGATCGAACCTACGACAACGATGAGAATCGCAAGCTGAAGCCACAAGGCCAACACTGCTTAACTATTACTATAATTATAGAGTAGGAAAAGGAAATGATAATTTTAAACAATACCTTTTTCAGTACTTGCATTTTTTTTAACCATAATTAAGAATTAATATTTTCAAATGGTAGCTTATTAAAGCAACTTACGTAGAGCAAGTGCTACGCCTTTATATTTTGAAGCGTAGCCTTACGACGTTCTCGCGTAGGAAACTTATGTAAAATTAAAAAAAGCTACTTTAGCTTATGAAATTTTTAATTTTGTAACACTAGTACGTATAAAATATAACATTTTTAGTCGTTCAACACATCTGCGTAAACTGCATGAAGTAATTTTATTTATTTAATTAAAGAGCTTCTAATAGACATTACAACATGTATTACAATTTGAAACACACAAAAAGATATAAGAACGCGTTAAATACTCTTACAGAACGAATAACTCTTAACCATTGCTAAGTAATAAATACATAAACTTAAAATTACATCTCATAAGTTAACTTGCCATAAAATCACAATCACAAGTTAAACACTGGTCATATTAAAAATGCATGCTTACTTACTGATATTAGGTTTCAGTTACACTTATTGGTGGAAAAAAGGTTGAATGTTAGCAGTCCACGGAGTTGTTGAAGTGCGTTAACAGCCCCTCATGTATACGTAGATTTCACGATCTTGCGTCTATTGTCTTACTATGGTCGCATCGGACACCGATTCTATCGAGATATGTGAGATAATCTTACCTAACTACCACACCTGCGGTCCTAGTTGTTTATTAACCAGGGCCAAAACTGTCCGGATTACTATTTTCATTTGTTTCATTATTTATAAGGAAGAAGGTATTAAATTTATTTCACTTTCTCTAGTTTTTAGCATCGGAATGTTTTATCTATTTTCATTATGATTATTATACAATTAAGGCAAACTATGAGGCAGGTGACCCCGCGTGCGTCACAGTCACGTCGTACTCCGCTATAATAAATCATTAAAAATACAACAAACGAATATTCGCGAATTCGGAGTACAAAAAACTATAAAGTAGTGCTTATAGACAGTGCAAGTGATTGTGAAGGATTTATTAGACTAATTTTCGATATAAACCTAGTAAAACATACAAACATTTCAAAAGTGAGCAATGTTTAAAACTTGTAAATAGCATTAAAACGATAAGTAGGCAATCCTGAAGAAAACTTTTAATAGTTCAAATATCGGATCGGTAATAAAGTGATAAACTGACTGTCTAAAAGAACAAAAATTCGTTATCGCTTTAAAGTGAAAGTGCCGTCAACAAGTGATTCATTATTCGAACAAAGAAGACAATGACTCATACCGGATCGATCTAACGAAACGGAGAATACGTACAGAGTATCGCGAGTTACGACATGTGCACAGTTGCGCACTGAACAGAACGCTGCATGAAAAACCCGCAAAACATTTTACAGAAGGAAAGAAATAAAAAGTAAAAACAAATTTGATAGACAATCTTCACATTAACATTACACCCTTATCAAAAACAAGGTGACTGTGTGGCACTAAAACCTAATCATCGCGTTATCCTCTGGCTTTTCACAGAGGACTGTAGGAAAAAATAAAATTGGCAAAACATATAGTTAATTGCGCTTTATTATACACAAAATTATGGAAGACCAATTCCAATTACTGTTCGACAAAATGAAGTTGGAATTGCAGAACCAAACAACCCAACTAACGAACACAATACTTGATAAAATGGAGGAAAAACTAAGACCTGTCCTCGAAGAAAACCAAATATTGAAAAGTAAAGTAGAAAAGCTGGAAAAGAAAATAGAGCATCTAGAAAGAGATAAGAGAAGCAATAATATAATAATCCACGGTTTGGCGGAAAGGACAGTCAACGTTGGATTTAATCGAGTGCATTAAAAAATGTATATTGGATGAACTAGGTATAACCTTAGAAAATTATGAAATAAATAAAATCTACCGTATTGGCATAAAAAATAATAATGGAAAACCTAGGCCTACCCTCCTTTCTTTAGTTAGCGGATTGAAAAGCAGAAATTATCAGGAACAAAAAGAAATTAAAGGAATTATATATAACAGAAGACTACTCAAAAGAAACCTTGGAAATACGGAAGTCCTTGCAACCCAAACTAATGGAAGAAAGGCAGAAAGGAAACATAGCGTTCATAAAGTATGATAAACTTATTGTCAAAGGGAATCAAGGGCCATAGACAAGAGGAGAGAGATAAATCAAACTCTCCGCAAGCAGAATTATTACAACAAGAAAACAGCAAACACTAATCTCGTCTAGAAATAACAGAATAAATGCATTCGACGTGATGAGAGGCCGACTCACGAGCATTCAACACTCCCAACAAAAACTCAGCAATAGCAATTATTGTATACCGGCGGTCAGAAACAAAAGAAACAAAAGTAACAAAAGTATAATAAACACACTCCCCCAACTATTCTTCCAACCCGGCTGGTCACCGGGAAGACTATGACCAAAACCCTCCAAGGACATCATCATCATACCACACAAAACAAGCAATGAAAAAAAAACAGAGGCAGACCCTACGCTCGATGGGATGATGACATCAAAAAAATCGCGGGTCCTCACTGGGTCCAAATAGCTCGGGATAGAGAAAGATGGCAAGCCTTGGAGGCGGCCTTTACCGGAGAGGGTTCCTGATACTTACTAACTGTAAAAATTATTCACTAACACATGAGATAACTTGATATATTTGTATTAGGAAATTAAGATAAGGCTTAAAATAAAATAAATAAAAATGAGTTGCATTAAAAACCTTCCATATCATATACGTAGGGACATTGAAACCCTAAACAAAGCGATTTAAAAAGTAACTATTATACTCAATTTAAATGATGAAAAGTTTAGCCCCATTAAACATCGTAGTCATGTGAAAATCCTTTAAACCGGGAAAGCGGGTCACATTCAAAACATCCTTTTAAATGCTAACACGACTCTAAACATATCCTGTTATTCATATCATACATTTGTATGTGATTTCATGTTAAAGTAATAAGAGATAAATAAGAGTAAATCTATGGTAACGGTGGCCTTATTCAACGTTCGTGAGAAGCTGCAATTTCCTTTTTTACTAATGAGGCCTTTTATACTCTGTGGCATTGCAGAAGAGTCTCAATTTGCATTAAATGTCTATTCTTAAGGTACGAATCAACGTTGAGCTTAAATATTTAGCGTTAGGTATTTAAGTGAAGTTGAATATTCATTAATTTCATGCTTTATAGTTAGGGAAATGTTGTATATGAGAATTTATTTATTTCGTAATCCTACAGCTGAAAAATGATATATACCTAATAACAAACAATTACACTGAAAATATAGCCAGAGATGGAATACATAATGTTTAAATACAAAAAGGTTCAAAAATTAACAAAAGGAAACAAACAATAAAAATTATTCAATAAGTGGTACCTAATTTGGCTGTGTTGTGTGATGGTGTAAAAGTGAGGATAAGTACGTGAAGGTGTGTATGTGGGGTATGCTCATAATGCTTTCGCACTATTGATATTCTTAATACTCTTTTTAACCATATTCCGCGATAGCTTAAATAAGTCAAAGCTTAAATATTGGTCGTTGTATGTCCGGGCTGTGCGAATTGTTAAGTTTTTATATTATTATAATCAAATACGCAGTATTTACATTTCTTAACCTGCTTAGTCATAAAAATAATAATTAAACATTAATAAAAAGAAAATTAAACAAATTTAAAAAGTTTGGTCCCTGTTGCAGTGTACCTTTAAGGTAGCATTTCCTCGCTGTATTGCGATACTTATATGAGCGAGGAAAGTACCAGCTCTGGAGCCACCGGTACTATCGACCAGGCGCCAATTTTAATATATAATTAAGAGATATTATAGAATATATAGATAAAATTGATTAGATAATGATTAAATACTTGTAATTTATGAGACTTTATACAGTTTATCTTAAAGCAAGCCAAAGACATTTCTTTGAATATGGCTTCGCTGATCAAAAGCTTTTGCAATGATTTTTTTATAATATTTTGTGGCAATATTTTGTGTGTATTGTGGCACTCTTTGATGTTATACTGTTTTGCCTTAAATACTTAAAATAAATAAACGTTCCTGTGGTACAAGAACCGCGCACTCCTCGTAGATAAAGTATATTTCACGTAGGCACTGAACTGCAAGTATATAAATTCTATATACATAAGGTCTCATAATATTAAACTGTTTTCCACCTGGGCTTAAATTGAGTAATTCAAATAGGGTCTTAGTTCTCCCGTCTTCACTAAGAAGATTAATAAGTTTAAAGTATAGTTATAAATTAAATTCTGTGTTGCTACTAATTACTTTCATAAAACGAATTTGCCTGCAAACTCTTAATTCATTTGCAGCACGTTTTTCAAGTTAACTCGTTAAAGTGTAACAAATTAAATGTGATGTTTTCGTTTTTCTACATTATAGTATACTATAATGTTGAAGACAATTCCAACGTTTTACTTATAAGTAGTAATAGGAGGCAAACGGGCAGGAGGCTTACCCGATGTTAAGTGATACCGCCGCCCATGGACACTCACATTGCCAGAAGGCTCGCAAGTGCGTTGCCGGCCTTATATATGATGATGTTAGATGATTATATATGTTGTATAAGAAATCGTATTGTATTAGTAACTAAATTTTAAACAAGAAATGTTTCGATTTGACTTTAGAGACCAGCATAAACAAAAATAATTAAATAACACAAAAAAAAATTGTCCTTTTACTCATGTGTCAAGGTAACTTTAACATTCTATGCGAAATGCTGTGGCTTTTATTGAAAGAGATTTTCAATTATTCCTCCTTATTCTACGTATACCTATAAAAAAATGCCGTATATCGCTAAACGGAGCGATTTTATAGTTTGTGCCACACTTGAACCATAAAACCAATTTACATTTTATTTTATTCTAACCAGTAGAACTTCATTAAAACGACATACTATACAGATAATCGAATCATTTATTTTTAATCTTAGATTCTTCCCACAAGTTTTATTACAATAATAAGCAAATCAGCTTTCTTGTAAAAGCAGACTTATATGCATAGCAATAACTATAAAAGACGTGTTCGTTTAATCTAATTGCACTTAGACGCTGCCTTAATGCCCACCATATTATCCAACTTCATTTTTATTCGCAGTCTCTACAAAGACGCCCTATATTCAATCTTTTGTGTGAAGATCTTGTTGAACTGTGTTCTCAATTAGGTATATATCAAATTTGTTATACAATATGGAATTTTTAGAGAAAAGAGCGGAGAGCGCCGGTGGCAACGTGAAGTGCCATTGAGCCGAGTACGCTACCATGGGCATGCGCCACAAAGCACTGCAAACGTTTTTATATATTTACTAACACTTTATGCATAAATATACAATAAATTAAAATAATGAAAATAAATAGGTAGAAAAACAGCGGATTTTTGTATTCTAAATTTCATGTCCATCGCTTACACTTACATTTGCTTAACAATATTTCTTGCTGCACAGTAAAAATTGTATAACTCTCTAATTGGTCGTGTTTTAATTAAAATTCTGTGTATGACCAAGAGGATTGTATATGTTGTTTTTAAAGAGAAATAAAACCGAAAAATTGCCGGGAAATTTTTGAAATCTTTCATAACCAAAAACAATTTAGAATCGATCAATATTTTTTATAACAAACTGCTCGATCTTAGTTCAGTTTCGCGAGGGTTTGTTATTGGCATATGATGATAGTTAATAATAGATCGAGAACTTGTCCAATAGCTATATATGTAACTGGTTGTCGCTAAATACATTATTTGTCCTTCCAAGCGCACGTAGCTAGAATGTGCACTGCAAAGAAAAGTCATGGTCCGAATACAGAATGAATAATTTCATGAAAAGAGAAGTGCTATTTAAATGTGTGGAACTTACGCAAACAAAAGACAGTTTAAATCATCAAACAACATCTATTCTTCCTCTGCTAAAGGATATCTTTAAACATTGTCTTGTCTTAGATATTCATCAGAAAACATGTTAGAAGTGTATGTGCCGTTGGGGCTTCTCATCATGGTTTGCCTTTGCCCTAGACCAGCTCAGGTTGGCGAGAATTCATCTCTAGCATATACATTTATTTATTTATTTATTACAGAAATACATACATTATCCTTACAGACTATGCCAATACGATAATGTCGAGAAACATTAAATAAAATATAATAAAGTAGGTACATATATAATATTAAACACATAATATACACAATATCGCTACTGTGAATTCACTCTGCGAACATATAAATATAAGTACATACGATACTCTAAGGAATTTTAGTTGATGCAACATTTCTACATACAGCTAACAAGTACCAAACGACAATTTTTCTATAAAATTGCTGTAGAACAGGGATCAAACAATTTAATCCTGGAAACGAGGGCACGGCTACAAATTGGGTTAGGTATAAATAACTCTGGTGTAACTAGTTCCAAGGAATAGCTATAGGTACATCTACCTTCCGTCTTCGCAATTTACAACATTAAAAATTATTTCCAAGTACGTATTCAGCGAGGGTTGGAAATTTCTTTCTCTTTAAAGCGAATGTAATTTTCTTTGAGGTATGTTGATCGTGGCAGTAATAAAAATCTTAATGCCCCTTTAGAGTTTAGCCACGTATTTTGTATGATTTAATTTCAATTGTTACAAATGTTATAATTCTGTAATAAATAAAATATGTTACGAAAATATTGCATAAATTCTCCTGTCTCCATAAAATTCTAGTGTCAAAATGTTCGTTCCCATACTTCTCCGAAACGGCTCGACCGATTCTTATGAATTTTTTAATGCATATTCAGTACGTCAGAGAATCGGCTACTGTTATGGAATTATAGTTGAGAATGAATCGCGAATTAATTGAGGGTCTTGAATTGAAGAATTGCAATAATAAGACGTGCGAATCGTTAGATACTTTTTATTCATAAATTCATATTTTATCTTTCAAACCCCTAAGTGATGTCCAGGCCACAAAAAAAAATTATTTATTAGATTTTTTTTTTTTTTTATGAAACAAGATACAAAAATACATACAACCCCTAATTTTCACCCCTCTACAATCAACTCCTATTTTTTATGTTAAAAATTATTTCTAGGAAAAAATGTTTCCCTGAAATAATATACATGGCAAAACAAACGTTTGCCGGGTCAGCTAGTAGTCTTCTAATAATATATATAAATAGAACGTTCCCTTAACGTGCCCCATCTCTCTCAGGATTAAAGTAAAATCCGTAAATTTGTTAAGCACTGTGTAAACTCAACTCGACAACGAAGTATTCTTTGCTATATTTTAGTGTCGTTTGCACAGCAGTCTAACACTCGATTTACAGCTTGCAATTCTATTTGCATACGTTCGTAAAAGCTTTTCTAACGGTACCTTAACCTGATGTACCGATGTCGTCTTATTTTATATATAAATAGGATAGGAGGTACTATTGTATGCACATAAAAAACATACACTTGTTTGAAAAAAGTGCGTGCGTACAAAGTACACATGACAGAAGTAACTTGTTCATTATTTAAAATATTAAGTGTCGAAAATTAATACAAATTATATTTTTCAATAATAAAAACACGTGGCATTTTAATTTATAATTCGTGAATTTCAAAAAATTATTTTGCACAAAATATAAAATACTAATATTTCATAAATTCTCTTTAAAAAAATTTCATTTTATAAATAGAATTTTTATGAGGTAATTCCTTTTCCGCCTTTTTAACTCTCTCTCAATCGGTCTCAATCGCTCTCTCCCTTTTGTTCGACAAAAACGCTGTACATCTTCGTGACGTACTAATATTATTTTTATTGCGTTTCATCCGTAAAACTTTTACCCTAAAGAAGTTTCACTTCAAAAATTGTGACAATCATAATTATAACACTAAAAATAAGAACAAATTCGCTGTTCCTACAACTAGGCTCCATGAAGTTAATAAATCATGATGTGTAAACTTGTCAAATAATAAATTTAATAAAATTATTATCGTCACTCTAGGAAAGCTTATTATAAAATATTGGATTACCTAGAAGATAAGGAAACTTATAATTAAAAATAATTTGCTCCAGCTATTTAATTTAACTTTGACTAATATAAGCATTGTAAATAACTTAAGACGATCAAAAAAAAACAAGCCCGAGGTTCTTGCCTTACTCCTTGTGTGCTGTTCGCGATTCCGAACAGGCGGTAAAGTTGACAATTCAAAGTGATTATGTGATTCAACTGAATAAATGAATTTTGCGTATTGGGTTAATAAAAAAAACCAATCATGACCACAACATTATACACATCTATATTTTTAGTTAGCATCCAATGCGATACCTACCAAGTAATATAGTCATCTAAATATAGAAAATACTACAAAATTTTGGTATATAAATGGTAAGTACAGTCTTATATTGGTATGTTTGATTAAAACATTAAAGTGTATAACACTCAACGTAAGTAAATTATAATGTCTTTTTGATGTTTGGTTTATCGTGCAAATAAAAGTGTTTTGATAGTGTATCCCTCATATCAATTATAAGGGAATTATTATAGCTAAGTGTAATAACTTGTAACTGTCGGTCATATCACAAAAGGAAAAAAAAACATAGAATAATACCCCAATATCTGTTCTAAGAGATTTAACATATGATTAAATCTAATATACTAAAAGGTTCTTAAGGTGTATGTATTAATAAAATGTTATATCAATCTAGATATCCGACGATGATCGCATGTCATTGACGACGGCTGTGTCTGATGAAGAGGATCCTGGTGAGAGCGCAATGAATTCACCGTACAAGGGAAAACAAACTGGTGCTGCAGCTGCCTCTTTCAATTGCACTGGTGCTGTGAGAAAAGCTGGGTGAGTACTAAAATTTCATGCGACCACTATTTCGTAGACTATAGGTAGACTGTACCTTAGACTTTCGTCATCGTAAAATATAAATTATTATCAAGTAAAAGTGTTTGTGACAATTACACAATTTTCGAGCTGTGATTAAAACCATTAAAGGGGCTAGGACATTATACCATTTGATCCACAATTTTAATCTTATTTATTATTATTTTATCTTATTTATTATATTACAACAAAGGAAATAACCATGAGTTATTATCTATTACTAACGATTTAAATATAATTATTACGAGTTGGATAATTTTTAAAAGTTAAGTTATAAGTCTTACTTCAGGGAAATTAAAATAAAACTGTAAAGCAAAACTACATCTTGATTAGATCAATGGAAAAAACTTATCTGTTTAAATTGAATCCCTGTGAAGTAAGATTTTAGAACAGTGAACTAGTAAAATAATAAATAACTCTCCTTCAGCAAAAATGCTTTAAACAAGTTCGCAAAACTTTTCATAGTAAATATAGTCAACAATATTTTCAAGTATATATGTAGGCGATCGTTATAAGAGCGAAAGATGACTTTCTTAAGAGTTCAAGTCTTAAATATATTGGTATAAGGAGGAAAAACTACAAAAGAAAGTGATTTCGTAAAGAGTTGACGAGTTTCTTAAAGCCGTCGGGATCCTTTATATTTCTTGAGGCTACAATTCCTGTTCCATGAATCCCAAATGACCGGAGGGAAATCTTAGCCGTGACCCATTCAAAAGAATACGCGTTGAGCCTGAAGACAGGACACATTTTTTCGATAATTTTAAACTGACTAACTTTCAAAAGAGTATTTTTGATGTAGGCAGACCTGTTTTAAAACTTCACGCGATGTGAAAATACTTTTTAACATATACTCATATTTTAAAATTGGTGGATGTATTTAAAATTGAATTTCACGGAAGGCGTCCTTTTTTATAAGTTCCTTTTTACCCAATTTAGCCTGGCGTTAAGCGTACATAAAATGTAATGAATTTTTATATGATGCAAGAATAAATTCGTGTAACTTAATTTAACTGTACACGACATCAATTAAAATAGACTCTTTGATATTGGATATGTCATTGTGAATTCAAACAAACACTGCCATCATTCTAGGAAGCCTTTGAATATTCAATACTGAAATTGCTTACAGATTTTTGAGCGTCAAAAAGTGGCTGTTACGGAAGAAACATCAAATCGAGCTGGCCCGGAAACGAGGCTGGAAAGGATATTGGGTCTGCCTCAAAGGCACCACTTTGCTATTCTACCCCTGCGATTCACGCGAGGGGCGATCCGTGGAAGCTGCCCCTAAACACCTTATAATCGTCGACGGAGCAATTATGCAACCCATACCAGAGCATCCAAAACGCGATTACATATTCTGCTTGAGCACTGCATTCGGTGACGCATATCTATTCCAAGCTCCGTGCCAGGTATGTGAACGGAATGTAACGCGAGTTCGGCACAAAACGTTGTTTTCATTTTGTTGTATTTTCCTAGGTGGAGCTCGAAAACTGGGTGAATAGCATACATAGTGCATGCGCTGCGGCGTTCGCTCGCCACCGAGGCAAGACCGGCACGCTTCATCTACTTCAAGAGGAAATTTACCGCCTCGAAAAAGCCATAGAATCGGTGTGTACCTTTTTTGACCTGAATGAATTTAGCTTTATGAAATGACCTGAGAATAACCTATTTTGTATAGGCGTCGCTTTGAATAATTAAAGAAATCACGGTGCATTAGTCGGTTTCAGTGCAGCCTTGCACAACGGAGTGTTGAACACAATGCAGATACTGAGTTATTATGCGACCCTAAGTGCACACAGCTTCGGCCTGAACCAACAGAAGTATTGTTTGACTGACATGAATCCCTAACTGCCTCCATAAACTATTGTCGTTGTTTACGTTTAGTCTCTAAGACTTAGGAATAATAGCTATTTTAGAAATAAGAGTTGCTGATGTGAACCACGATTTTAGCTATTCGATTATTATTTGAGCTATTCTACGTTGCTGTGTTTAAAGTAAATCTAAATATGTTTCGAAACTTCTGGATTATTACAAACCCTCGAACATTTAATATATCTTACGTTCCTAATCGTATGATTTAAGAAAAATAAGCTAAATCACACATTACAACTATACTAATTACAACAAGTGGATATTTTAATTATAAAACCACTAAACATGTTCTATTAGCTAATAGAAATTCGTAATATGTGGTAATGTTACGCGGTTCGCAATGTTCCGCGTGGAAATTGTGCCAATATGTAACCCGCACCGGGCGACCGCCACTTAAGCATTTGCGGCCTTTGCTGATCGCCCCGAGAATAATTATATAACATGCATTGAATTTCCACAAAGAAACCACTAACGATACTCCATAACTTATTAACTGAGGGGGATTTAATTTCGTATTTGCAAGTTGTTATTTAATAATTATGAATGTTAAAGTTTTTAGTTTTCCAAATACGAAAATACCATTGAGATATAGATGTAAATTCCGGCGAAGAAATCAAGTATAAGGCTTAAAGTTATTTATACGTAGAAATTCCGCACCTTGCATCACGCGATTATTTTCCCGTACAACTTGATTTTGGTATTTTTGGGCCTAAATATTAGGGAACTTTTAAATCGTGAAATAGTCAATAAATCTTTGAAAACGTTCTTCTTTAAAGAAAAAATCTTTAAAGAATTGAAAACAGTGGACAAATACCCAATTAAAAAAAACAATTGTAGATCATTATAAAATTCAACTGCTAAAATTAATTCCTAGGAATCAATAATGTTCTATAAAATCGTCAACGTGATTTTGATAAGAATTTGTTTTACGTTTGTATTCACGCACAGGTAGGCTCGCCTTCATTATTATTCATGGCACGGATGCCATGTGCTCTACTAAACTTTGAGGTCTCCTTGAATTTATCATACTATTTTTTCTTAGTAAACATCCCTAATGATCCAAGGATTTTTTTAAATTATTCATCCACTTATATTAATCGTTAATATTGTAATTTTATAAAGAAGAATCCGAAGATTTTTACGTTAATCATAATATAAGGAAAAAAATAGATTATCAACTTTCCTTGATTTTTTTTTATTTCGGACATATGTACATCCAGATTTTTATTAAAATACACCATACTCCATGGATTTATTTATTTATTTATACATTCTAATGTATGCCTAAATATGCAAGAAAATATGACATCACAAATTTAACACACATACACATCAATTACAATAGAACATAAGAAATCTATCAAAGGAAAGAATTAAACAAACAACCACTAAATAAAATAAAACAAAAAAATAATAATAATGATAATAACTAAACATTACAAATTAATAATAGTAACTAAAACTAAAAAGATTAAAAAATAACAAGAACAGAAATAAACAAAACTAAATGAAAACTTAAACCACATTAAGAGCCTGCAAAACAAAGTTACGGTAAGTTGGTAGACTGCTGTAAAACACATTAATATTTTCATCAATTTGTCATTAAGTTGTAAGAGCGAGATAGCCTATTCACTGGACGATTAAAAGTAGCAGATAAACGAGCCGTAGGTATGAATGATAGATTAAGTTTAATTATATATGTTACAAGTTTTAAAAAAATATTTTTATTGTTATATATATTTTTCGTCTATTTTACTAAGGGTTATAAATTATCACAAGCGTTTCATCAACCACAGGAAGCTTCATACGGAAAGGCCCATCATAAGTTACACTTTCGTACATTTGTGGGAATGCGTGCAATTTATGAGTTCCTTAGTGTCCTTTTATTTGCTAGTTTCAAGGATAAACTAAATAAAACCAGCGCAATATTGCGAAATCATACAGACTGTTAAGTAATTTATTAAATTTAGTAAACTAAAACTAATAATATTTTACGCACTAAAATTACAAGACGAAATAAAACAATATATGTGCTCTGCGTTATTATTTCTATACTACATATTTATATATTGTATTTTAAAATGTGAGAGATTTATGGTTACATTAATTTTAGTCTTAATACCAACATTCGTTGTCTATAATATCTCATACAAATAAACAATATATATTCATATTCTAACATACACATTGTAGGATCACAAATTGAAACACATGGCAGATCTACAACAGTCGGTGGTATCTGACCCGGAAACAAGAGCTCAGTTGGCAGTGCAAATGCTACAATGGGAGGAAAATCTTGAACGACTGCATTGCGAACAATTCCGACTTAGATGTTATATGGCCAGTCTGCAAAGTGGCGAGCTTCCAAACCCTAAGGTATGTTCTATGCGTTACGTTATTTATACTTTTACGAAATTTATTAAAGAATAACCCATATTTCTGAAACAAAGAATTCTGATTTCAAATGCAAATAATTTTAAAAGGATTTCACTCACAAAAAGCTAGTTGATTACATTTTTTATCAACGAAACCAATTAATTAGGTAAAACAATAATCCAATATTTCCACTGTATTTCAATAGTCGTAATCGTAATTTATTGGTGCGTCATGAATTATTTCTGCGCTGCCTTAATGAGAATATCGATTTGTGCTTTAGAATAATGAAAAGCACGAGTTTGCAAATAATAATAGATTATGTGGCATGGAAAATTTTAAGGGCCGATATTAACAAGTGTTGACAGTGTGAATATACGTCGAAATCAGTGAACACATCAACTGATCGACCCACGCCTGTGAAATATTACGTTGATCAGACCCGTGTCAAAAATTCAATAGAGTAACATACATTATGTGTTGTTTTACTTCGATTTACGTTTTAGTTAGATATAACAAAATGTTTTAAGAAAAATAGCTATGCGAAACTTATTCACGTAAGATCTTTTTAAGTCGAAAATTAAACCTTATTAATTAAACAATACTTATATTTAACTAAATCCCACTTATCCTAAACTAATATTTTTTGAATAATAATTAAGTTTACCTCATTTCCTTTAAGGATTTTCAGTAGTTCGTTATTTTTGATACGTTGTTCGACACAAGGAATTCAAATCACACAAAGCAGAAATTTCATGCTAGGAGAAATAGGCAACTCTTCTACTTAGTTCACGGAAATTAACTTTACCCGGAAGCAATTTATGAGCAGATAATATTTAAACATTCAGATTTAAATCAAAGGACATTTAAATGTAAATAGCCAACAAGCGGGTTTTGTTTGAGTTGAGTTTTATTAGTTACGAATGGAATTGTTGCAGTCTCTGCTTACACACGTTTCCCGGGGCACAAAGAGCACATTGAACAAATTGGGTGTGTTCACCGTGTCGTCCTTCCATGCGTTTATCTGCGCCCGTTCCCCATCTTTGCTCAACAATTTGCTCGCGGGCAGAGGGGCTACTAAGCGAAGGGCGCCTAATCTGTCAAGATCTAATTCGGGCTCCAGCCGGCGGTCTATGCAGGTAAGGTTTTCATCTAGGCTAAGTTATAATAACGGGTAAATGAGTAATGGTAGATTAGACTAAGTACAGACAAAGTCCCGTGTGGCATCTTTTGTTCAAGAAACCATCGCCTTCCTCTTTCATATTCATTTGTTTGTACCAGTGTTGCGATGTATGCCATCAGCGTCATTCTGTTCAATAGTGTTTAGTTCCCACATATAAATTCGTCATTAACTTAAACATTTTATTGCATATGAAAATAAATTTTAATATATGTTTTTAATTGCATGTTAAAAAAATCACACTGACCGGTATGATTTTTCCATTCCACTTAATGAAATGTTTACCTTAGCATCTACACATTTAAATAAGTGGTCTCCTATCGCAATTTATTTATTTCAACATCCTACAGTTAACATAAGTTATATATAACAAAAAACTATTATACTAAAGGGTACCCAAAGATGGAATACAATAATACAAAAAGGTTCAAACATTTTAAATACATTTAAAATGATTAAATACATTTAAATAAGTAATACCCAATTTGACTTTGTTGTGATGTGATGCAATGTGATGGTGTGAAAGTGAGGGTATGTAAACTAAATTTGATACAAAGCGGCAATTCATTACTTGAATTACAACAATGTACTAGCTAACTTTGTTATATGAATTTAAGTAAAATGTTTGTTAGTTTCAATTTTTATTAGCGTGTTTATAATAAATCGTTTTAGACGAATTTATTTTAAATTTGTATTGTAATTCTACTTCATAATATTGTTAGACGGTCGACCCGAATTTCTCAGGATTAATCCTTCCACATTATGAAGACGCAAAAAGCTGAAAAGGTGTTTTTTCTTTTTTTACCTATAAAATAGTGGTGCGAAAATCTTTTATATCGCGAGCAATGATGACAACTTATACTGCTGCTATTTCCAAATAATCGTAATTTTAGTAACACAAAATCTGTTATATAAATTACACTGAAATATAATATTGAATAGTATTTCTCTTTTTTCTTTAGCTATTTCTCATAAACATAACGTTGACCTAATTAAAACATGACATTAAAAACTGAAAGTAACACGAGTTCCTTAGCTTAAGAACACAATTCTCATTTTATCATTCGAAAATTAAGCCATTTTTAACGACACGATACTAAACTTATTACTGTGAAGTTCGAAACACGAGTTCAATGAAGCGTGAAAAGCACTCAAAGTTAACCAGAAATACTCAAGTAGGCTTCTCAATATTGAAGGAACTCCTAATATGTATCGTCACGAAACAAGGCGATTAGTTCATTACACAGATTCTATATAAATGGTTATGTAAGACTAATACATAGGATTTCTTTAATATTCACTCCATTTTCAAGTATCGTGTTATTTTACATTTTATTAAAATTAGAAAGCCTTGAACACTTTTCCTCCTTTTTATGTACCACCATCATACTTATTAGTATACTGATACTGATTATATTAAAGATTTTATCTGGCTAATCTATTAACGGCAACAACTTAAATTTCATCCAAGTACAATTATCTTGATATATCTATAAATATAAATTACCTACTTTCCGATTTCGATTTTGTTTATTTTACCATGCCTACTGCTGATAGAGGACAAATCTTTGGTTTTTATTATTAATTACTATAGATGTCATGTGGAACATGGTGTAAATGTGTGAGTGGCGGAGAGTTTATTGTCAGTTCTTCTCGTCCGCTCTACGCTATTGATTTGAGAACTAGATGAAATGTAAAATTAGAAGCATTTAGCATTTAATGTGTATTTCTTTTTTGACGTTCATAAGTGTACATTGTATTACCATAAATGAATAGGAAATGATTTTGACTTTGACTTTAAGTTACACACAGCTTACATTGTTAAACATTACTTACAACTTTTTAGAAAGATGGTTAAAAAATACGTTATTAAATTTACTTCTACCATTTATTTATATCTGTGAACGAGCGTCTAAGAAATTATTATTATTCATTAGATAGTCACACAATGCGTGTTATAACATCGATGCGACCTACCTGCACTTTTAAAAAAAAGTATTTATACATATTCTTAGCAACTAATATTTTTATTTTATATAGCTTACTTTTAAATATTTTCAATACGATGTACATTCCCTCTAAAATTTCTCACTAAGTGAATGTAATTCTTTGAGAAATAAGTATCTTTGAACCCAAAATAAACAAAAACGGTTGTTCATTAAACTTCTGTTTTATGTACGCATACATAAATTTATCATAATTATCTAACTGTAGATGTCCCGTGAAGAGGGTGAGGCTGCAGTACGGGTGTCATTACCTGAAGGAACTACCGCAACCGTTGGTGTTCGTGAAGGAATGACAGTTGAGGAGTTCCTTGCCTCTGCTTGTGTGCGCCGTTCTCTTAACGCGCTGGAACACTTTGTGAGGGTTAAGAAACGACGTGATATGGAGGACCATAACTACTTTGTGCCACATCGTTCTGATCTTATTGAGACTTATGTAAGTACTGAAACTGTGTTAGCTTAACCATAAATATTTCAATAAAATAAATAGAAATACAATAGTATGCGGTATGCGGCCCAGGCCACGAACTTCATTATTAATGCCATGCTATTAAAGATTTTTTTTTAATCGAAACCAATAATTTAAACATTTTTAACTGTAAATAACATTATTTAACATTTCAATAAATAAATATGCTTCGATTTAAAAGTGTCTTTAAAAGTTAGTTTTTTTTTCTTTAATATTAACAAACATTGCAAAAATTTATAATTTATCTATATTACACCATCCGCGGATTTCTGTTCAATCGTCCTTGCCTAGTTTCAAAATTAAAAGAATTATCGTTGACTTTTATTCGATTAGAAGATATTTTTTTAAATAGATTCATGTATCGCAATATTTAAATAAATCTCAAACGTATTTGACCGTATCTTTTATTATTTTATATTATACTAGCTGATCCGGCAAACGTCGTTTTGCCATGTACTCGTATATCATTTATAATAAAAAATAGGGGTTGGTGATAGAAGGGCAAAAACTTAGAGTTGTATGTATTTTTGAATATCGTATCATAAAAAAATAAAAAAAAAATTTTGTCAAAAAAATGAAAAAAAAAAATTGAGGGGTGGACCACCCTTATTATTTAGGGGTGTGAAAAATAGATGTTAGCCGATTCTCAGACCTACCCAATATGCTTACCAAATTTCAGAGGAATCGGTCAAGCCGTTTCGGAGGAGTATGCAGACTAACATTGTGACACGAGAATTTTATATATAAGAAGATATTCTTAATGTAATAAAAAAATATTCTTCAGCGTAAGAAACATTATTTATTTTCCAGAAATAAATACTCTATGTTATATTGATGGTATGGTTTTCTGTCATGCATCTATCCGGCAAAAAAAATATGTTTAAATATATTATTATTGTATATTATATTATCAAATAAAGGAACACTTTCATAGAGGTTTTTAGAAGACTCTGATAGACCATTATTTAAGATGTCTTCAGTCGTTGTTTTAAAGAACACGCCCAGTAATTTAGTTAATGATACTCCTTTGTACTCCACAAACCTCAACGGGGTGATTTATTTTATAAAGAAAATGTGAATTAAATTGTTTTTTTAAAGCATTCCCTTATTACTTGATAATTTGAATAAACGAACCTGTTTTAATTAAGCAAGGTCGTAATTTAATTAGACTTAATAACTTTCCTTTGTTTCTAAAAAATAATCTAATAAGATTATTAATTATAGCAGATTCAGTGATGAAAGTAAAACAAAACTTGAAACGGTATTCCAACTAAGGTCTGACAGTGCAAATTTTAATACCCATTTTTACTTTTGCAAGCTCGATGGAGATTATTAGTTTCAATGGTTACTTAGATATAATTAAAGTACTTTTAGTTCGCACTTTTGAAGCTTTCAATATTTTACCGAGCCATGAATTCAATAAATGAAAAATGTTATGAAAATAAATCGAACGTAGAAGCGCTCAGAAAAGTTTCGCCATATGCAGTTTCTATTTCCGTTTGTCATATACAAAATAAACATCTATGAGTCAACATGTTTGACTATCGAAATTCGTCGGTCGGAATTCGTACCTTTTATGAATTATTTACAATAATAAATAATAATAATAAGTCATTTATTGCATAGAACTTGGTACATTCAGATTTATTTATCATAAAAATACCGCACAATACTCTCCCATGCTATAAAGGCACCGTGCCTAACAGATCAAAACGAAGTTTAGTTAGTCAATTTAATATTTGTATTATCTCTTTGTATATGTTATGTTTGCCTATAAGTGTTTGTCACATTAAAAAATGTATATTGTGGTTAATTTATCCATGTATCGGAGTGCCGCGAGTTGCCAAGTTTTTATCAATAAAAAAAAAAAACAATAAAAAAAAATTAAAGACAGAGTTTAGTAAGAAAGTAATATGTACTTAAACATGAGGTATAGCTTAATCCTAATAATATTATTTTTAAGTATATTACGATAATTAGTTTTAAAATTTATGTAACGTAATCAAAATCCAATCTCAAATACATATGCAATTTTAATACATAATTTTTCAATTATACAGTTGCACACACACGAGGTAGTGGAAGTTTGCGCGAAGATCTTATACCAAGTAGAACTGCAACGCACAACTTTGGAGCAAATGTGGGGCTTCAGCGTAGAGGCCGAGCTCATTGAGAACGCCGAGAGACAAGACGAGCTTTGTTGTTACGTCAGTCGCGTTGAAGACAAGAGCGTCGCTATGCAAAATGGTAATTATACTTTGTACTCATTACTTTATGTCTTTGATGTTCTTTATTTAACGTTTACTTCAAGCTCGGATTTTTGCTGTAACTTTTTATTAAGTGTAAGCATTGTGCATATTATCTTAGTTAACGGATTCTTTTGTTTTTATTATTTTAAGGCTATTGTGGCAGGTTAGATTCAAATCTCAAGGAAGTAAAATTAAACTTTTAAGTCTGATGTTCTTTATTTAACGTTTACTTCAAGCTCGGATTTTTGCTGTAACTTTTTATTAAGTGTAAGCATTGTGCATATTATCTTAGTTAACGGATTCTTTTGTTTTTATTATTTTAAGGCTATTATGGCAGGATAGATTCAAATCTCAAGGAAGTAAAATTAAACTTTTAAGTCTGATGTTCTTTATTTAACGTTTACTTCAAGCTCGGATTTTTGCTGTAACTTTTTATTAAGTGTAAGCATTGTGCATATTATTTTAGTTAACGGATTCTTTTGTTTTTATTATTCAAAGGCTGTTGTGGCAGGTTAGATTCAAATCTCAAGGAAGTAAAATTAAACTTTTAAGTCTGATGTTCTTTATTTAACGTTTACTTTAAGCCTGGATTTTTGCTGTAACTTTTTATTAAGTGTAAGAATTGTGCATATTATCTTAGTTAACGGATTCTTTTGTTTTTATTATTTTAAGGCTATTGTGGCAGGTTAGATTCGAATCTCAAGGAAGTAAAATAAACTTTTAATTAGGGATAACTATCAAAATATGCGGCATGAGATACTTTTATATGTCTAGTTAAGTAGTTATTTTTTTGATTAGGTTTTGTATTTACAGCTTTTTGCCAAATTTCTAAAAATGAAAACCTTTTCATGACCACACATCAGAGTCCTTTATTATATTAATCAAAATGCTGCATTATACTGCTTCTATAGAAGCAATGACAGACAAAATAGTGATTAAAACCACAACTTTACGCTGGTAAAACATATAGATACACTTTGTGGTTAAATAAACATATTTTTAATACTACGAACATATAAACCTTTTTTTTAATAAAACATGTGCTGAAACTACCGACACATAAAAAAATAATCTGAAAATGTGGTTAGATTCAGTTAAAACCAATTCATTTATACGGCTTAATAGACATATTTTTAATTTACTACGGCAAAATATTTTCATACAAATATTCAATTTTCATAAATGAATTCGAACATATTACGTACAAAATAGTTGATTGCGCTTCGCTGGGTCGATGTAAATAGTTCACGTAGCTACAGATAACGTAGGTGTTTGTGAAACACATTAGCAGCGGTGAACCACAGAACATCCAATATCAATACAATGTTACGAATTTCTCTTTATTACTTTTCATAAATATTGAACAAAAGCGCCGTTGATATTAGTTAATTGATCATATGAAAATTAATTGAAACCTATTTACTGAAGTTTTATAATGATGTGGTTTGACGTATATTATTTATATTTCATTCCATTGTTTTGCGCGACCGCCGCTGCGAAAACCACTGTGTGAGTTCGAAAAGTGAGTTACAGAATCGCAAGGCTGATACAGAAATATAGTGACCACTCAACTTCAAACTATTAATTTATATGTATTAAGAATTTAACCATTTAATTTCAATTAGTACGGTTTTTGATTTACCCTGATCTCAATTTGTTTGCTTTTATCCCTCGGTTTCGCAGAAATTAATTAAACCCTGAAAATTGAATGATGACGTAACGTGTACGATGTTAGAGAGAAAATGGCTTCATACGTATGTATATGTATATTTGTTCGACGTCATTCTAGGATAAGTTCGCTACGTCTAGTAATTTGAATTTTGTTAAAATGGTTTATTTTTTAATTTACTTGTCATAAATATATGCACAAAAATAATTAAATGTTAGATAAGACCGAACAGGAAAACTCCGCGTGAACTCACACACTTTGCACGAAAGAAAAGCTTAGCTTTAAACAAATAATTTTTAACTTTATACTAATTGATCCATTGCTGAAAATGAATAAACCCGTCATTGTTTTAAAGATAAAATAGAGTTAAATGTTACATAAATAAAACTCCATTTTCAATTTTCTTTGTTCTAAAAGCGAACAAAAGAATTGTTGATGCACAATATAGTAAAGGGTATTATATATATTATAGTAGGGTATTACTAAAGTGAGTATAGAAAATAAGATTGTTTACATGTAATCAATTGTTACGTCTAAGCATTTACTTTTAAAAAAATGTTAAAGCCTAATATTTACAAAAAACTTATTATTTCATTTAAATAAAATTAATTTCGATTAGTCTTAAATAATTAGAATTAAGAAATTTAAGTTAATTCTATTTGAAATTAGAATTAGAGTTTAAATATATACTTTTTCCGATTTTTTCAGAGCATTTTGATTTTGAGCAATTATTGTTTTCAGTAATCGGATTCTTATTAAAAATGTTTTTAAATATACGTTAGAGATACTTTTCCTCTAAGTGGTTTTAAATTGTATACCCCTTAAAAAGAACAGTGGCGTTAGAACTTTTTAGGGATTACATGATTATACAGATACAGATTTCTGTCTGTGTATCGTGATCATTTGTTTTATTAGACAAGGAGGTGATCAGCCTTCTGTGACTAACACACACCGTCGACTTTTTGAGTATTAGACATGCCGGTTTCTTCTCGATGTTTTTCATCACCGTACGAGCGTGTGTTAAATGCGGACATAGACTGAAAGTTCATTGATGCACAGCCGGGGTTCGGACCTCAAGTATGAGATTCACAACTCACACGGCAGTGACAGGGCAACACAGCTCATAACTTTTTAATTGACATAAAAAATAATCTACTGTTCAAATCTTATCGTTGTAGGCTTACACAAAAGTGAACCCTCCGTATAAATGGGGGGTTCCTCCTTCCTTAAGGATTTTGTTATGCAAAATTATATGAGAAGAATAAAAATCTAGAGCGTTTTATTTATTTATTTATTAGTAAACTTACAGCTAACATACATATTATAAAACAAAACATTTAGACATTGTACAAAGCCCAGATTACATAGATAAACGATGTGTATGTAACAGAAAACATAAATAAGTAAACTAATAAACAAAAATAAAAGAAAACTGAAATTTAACATTGATCAAACGATATTTAATACTCAATATTTCAAAGAAAAAACTAAATTGTTACTGCTAAACAAAGTCAAAGACCCGCCTCTTCAAATATTTCCTTACATCCTCTATCGTGAGGTGGAAAATATCAACATGCTCATAATTAGTGTCATAGAAAAATCCCGAAACATTGGCGAATGATGCAGGTAATTCGTGTCCTGCCGGTTTTAATATTTTTTTACAAACTGTTGTTGCTTCGTTAATGCTAGAGATATTTCCAGGTATCATAAAAGGTGATGAGATAATGGTGATCAACGGTGCAATAGTCTCCGACCTAGATATGATGTACCTCGAGAGCGTGTTGCAAGAGGAGCTTTCTCTAGTTATGATGATGAGGTAAGGCTTGTTTTCTCATTACCATGCGATCGAGTTGTTCATTAATCAGCGCATTCGTTAGCATTGATTTGCATAAAAACGATAGCAGGTTCACTTATTCATGACACCAAAGTTCCGATATTAACTAGATGATGTTTATACCAAGTTGATGAATTTGGTTTTAGTATTTCTATATATCTAATGTAACATATAAACTAGGCTTTGCTTAGGAATCAATTCCCTATCTCACTCCGAAATAATGTAGTTCAGTAATATAAGAGAGTACTTGTTACAAATATAACCTTTTTATACTATGAGTCTAGACTGTGTCATTAAAGTTGTAGTTTTTGACAATGCCAATATGTACCCAAGTTCCTAACCTTAAATAATACTTTAACTGCGTATCATAGCCGGTAATCGGATAATTAAATAAACTCTCATGACCCAAAAAACAAATATACAAAACCAATAAAATCTCAGTAAAACCTAAAATACATCGTACACGACTAAGTCGCGTAGATATACTACGTCATTTAAAGCTCTTTAAAAGTAATTACTTCTTAAACTATAAATAGAGCCATTTGAGATAATTGTATGATAAACAGGAAAGCATGCGCTCGACACCTAATGAAACGGAAGTTAGAGTGCGGCTCTAAGCCCGAGTGAATCCTCCATCGGCGTTTCCCTCACCTGACCTTTAAACCTACCAGTTTACTGAAGCGCTCGATGCGACCTATATACCCCTATTATAAAAGTCCCCTCACGCCCTCAGGGTTGAAACATGACATGTGGACACATCTTCATAAAACATGTGTCACTGAGTGCTTGTAAACATCATTTTCCTCGCAAAAATGTGAAAATATTAGAAGTGACGCCAAATAAACATGAATGTGTATGAGTGGCTTGCGATTTTTTACGGTCTCATGAATAATAACGATGTCGCTCACTTAGCGAAGCCATCAATTATTGATACGCTATCGATTTAACGTTGCGGGCTAAAATTATAATGTACTCCTATTGGGTAACCCTATAACCTCTAGCGACGTCACATCAGTTATTGTAAGAGTCGGGGACAGCCTCCCGGCGATATCGTGTCGCTTATTGCTACCGCTTTTAAAATAATATCTCTTTCGACTTATTGACGTGTTGTGAAAGCTTCGGAGAGTATCCGTTACATTGTCATTTATCTGAGTAAGTCATTATCTAGAAATAACTCATAGTTTTTGTTTTTCACTTGAATTGTCTACGTTCCAATTTATTCTCGGCCCGATATAAATTACAAAATACTGTCGACAATTTCCGCCCCACACCTTTTATGCAAAGTAATTTTCAGCTTCATAAAAAGCCGACATTTTTTGTTCAGAATATATTTCAGCTACCAAGTATAGCTATGTATTGTCGTAAAAACAATATGTTTTACGACTCATATTTGGTCATCGCTCATTTTAATTCCTCTCTTTTACATAATTTTTGCGCTTAGGATATTACATTGTAAGCATTTATATGCATATTTTTTATGCTGAAGGTTCGTGTTAAAGAAACGCAACTTTTATATTCTATAAATCTTTAAATCACACAAGAAAGAATTTCTTATCATTAAATCACAATTTATGTTTTTATTCATTATAATAATAGATAAATATTATTAGCAAATATATGTCTTCATAAGATATTCCAATATCTGTTTAATTAACGAATTTTCTTTTAACACAAAACAATTTATTTAGCCGTCAAATCCCTGATGAACTACGTTGATTTGTATGTATGTATATATGTACATAAGCGAAATAAACGGTAGACTACATATTTAATAAACATAGTACGTTACCTATTGATAAGGACAAACTAGTCCGTCTTTGTATTGTTATATAAGCAGGACAACAATCAATTAGTCGCATGTACAGGTCATCCCGCACGGAGCCGCCAGAGCTAACCGGTGCGATGCGCGCGGCCACCGACGATATAATCGATTCGCTGGTATGTCCGCCGCCGCCCACCGATCCACCCGTCATCTCCGATGACATGATATCTGGGCTCATCGTGCCCGCGCCTGCTTGGAGTGAGTACACACATACATAATATGTTCAAACTGACCACTTTGTTCTCTCTTCATTCAATTAATTCCAAATAGATTTGTTATTACGAAAATCAACCTAGAAGATGATAAAAAATCGCGCTCGATATTGCAAAATACAAATGCGTTTCCTTTAGCGGCAGCAATCTTTAAATAAGTTGCTTATTCATCTTTCAATTTCATTACAATCTTCAATAAGCTAATTTATTAATAGTACTATTAATAAAACATGTATGCTTATGAATATGATATTATAGTACGGGGGGTAGCAACGTTTTCGAGAAAGAATTTCAGGTCAGCTGATTTTGTGATATGTCTTCCTTCTTGCACTTCCGGTTAGAGTCTGGGCAATCTGGCTAGCGGTAGCGGTTGCGTTCATTAGTGCGCATCCTATCTGTCCAGGTAACAATCCTGGATTTTAAAAGCATTTAAGAAGCGTAATTTTAAATCGTTTTTAAATACGTCTAAATTAAAATTAAAATCGCGTCTGGCACATAGTAGCAACGGAAAAATGTCTGGCAATAAAAAAAGATGTCAGGTAGACGATTTAAAAAGGAAAAAAAAAAATTACGCTTCAAAATGCAATGCTTCATCATACTGCAATACTTTATCATTTAATTCAAGACTTAACAACCGAATTAATGTCTGGCAAATTCATTTTCAGTTTTTCTTATATTTAAATAACAAATATTAAAATTACAGACATTCTAAAATGCTTTGAAATTTTTATAAAAATAAAAATAAAATCGCGCTGGCACATAGTTAGCAACGTGAAAAATGCTGGCAATAAAAAAAGATGTCAGGTAGACGTATTTAAAAAGGAAAAATCAAAAATTACGCTTCTAAAATGCAATGCTTCATCATACTGCAATACTTTACATTTTAATTCAAGACTTAACAACCGAATTAATGTCTGGCAAATCATTTTCAGTTTTTCTTATATTTAAATAACATAATATTAAAATTACAGACATCTAAAATGCTTTGAAATTTTTATAAAAATTAAAATAAAATCGCGTCTGGCACATAGTTAGCAACGGAAAAATGTCGGCAATAAAAAAAGTATGTCAGGAGACGTATTTAAAAACGAAAAATTAAAAATTACGCTTCTTAAAATGCTTTAAAATCCAGGATTATTACCTGGACAGATAGGAGCGCACTAATGAAGCAACCGCTACCGCAGCAGATTGCCCAGATCTAACCGGAGTCAAGGACAACAAAACAGGACCAAAATTCTTTTTTTAAAGTTGTACCTCCCGTACTATTATAAATCAATAATATTCGAACAGAGAAATTTAAAATTTAGTCGTTAGAATGTAGAAATCAAGCGTAGAACCAGCTGTCAACTGAAGTATTTCCGAACCAAATCGACATAGGGTCCCTCAAATAAAGAGCGTACCAGATCTTAAAAGGCCGACCATGCACTTGCGAGCCGCCCTCGGCGCCTAGAGTGTTTATGGGCAGCGGTATCATTCAACAACATCCTCCTAAACGGGTATGGCCCTGTTCTATTTAGAAAAATATCTACACATTAATAAATAACTAAAATAAAAAGACTATTATAGAATATTCTAGGTATACCGTTGTAGCACAAAATACTTGTTAATTTATGCTTGTTTGTCGGTGAATTTAATTATACGGTACGTGTTAAGATGTAATATTCCCCAAACAATGACCTACTGTGAGTGCATTGTCAGTAACAAGAATGAGGTAAACATGTTCATGTACACCTGAAACACTCGACATAAGCACTTAATCCCACGAACTAACGAGCCATGCTTTTAGAATTCAATTAAATCGTAACGAACTGCATGAATTTTATATGAAATATCGGGCGGATGTTTGAATTATATTCAATTAACGTAAATTGATTTTTGCAAACAAAATTATAAGAATACATATCTATATCAATCGTAAAATATGTTGCTAATCTCAAAACTTGAAGACGGCTGAACCAATTGAACTCTGAGGAAGGCTTTTATGAATAGAAAAATCGAAAAAAAAATTGTTTTAATACTTAGATTTTATTCGGGAAAAGCGAACATTCACATCTTCTCAACCTGTCCTATGTTAAAACAGAATCTATTCTGATTGTACAACAATAGTTAAGTTATAAAATGCAATGTATAAATTATTGTCAAGTACCAGTATGTCAAAAGGAAGAAACCAGCTGCCCACGGTATCTTAGTGTGGGGCTAGCCTCCACTATCTTTTTGTCTCCACTGTTTTTTAACCTAAATATCCTTTTTTATACGTGAGGAGGTACCGTAAGGCAGGTAGGTAAGGCAAGCCCTTAGACCCAAAAAGTTAACGGCGTGCATCAGGCTCAGAAGGCTGATCACCTACTTGCGTATTAGATTTACAATTGATAATGAAACAGATACCGAAATCTGAGGCCCAGACCTGAAAAGGTTGTAGCGCCATTGATTTATTTTTTATCCTTTTTTACTAAGTATTATAAAGTTTTTTTTCTTTGTTATTTGTCTGTTTCATATGTTGGTATGTAGCTACTAAAAAGGTAACCTAACTGGAAAGATCAATAAGGCGAAACGAAATTCACGGAATGTAAAATAATCTACAACATTTCAAATCGCCAACAATGAATACTGTTTTTATTAATTAATGCTTAACAAGCAACACTTCAATCTTGCTATCTATCTAATACTTGGCATCGGTTCCAATACAATTCAATATCATGGCTGACGGCCAATGAAATCCTATTTTGTTTATTCCATTTGAAGTAATTTTGTATCGTAGTTTTAGAATATATCGTAGAATAATTTATTTTCAAGAATATAGTCCAAAAATAATATGGTAAGGCTGATCACCTACTCGTCTATTAGATTGATAAATGAACATGAAACAAATACAGAAGTCTGATGGCCAGATCTAAAAAGGTTGTAGCGCCAGTGATTTATTTTGATTTACATAATCACATTATTTAAATATATTATTACATCACTACTAAAGTAATAATGATGACTGAGTTTTAAAATGTCATTGTTAGTTAACTATGCCCACTCATTTTTTAAATAGATCGCTTTGCTCTCGTGTTATATAGATCAAGCCATCCGAAATTACTGCACTACGAAATCTTTCAAAATCATTCAGTTTTTAGATCCGCGAGATGAAGAATTTGAATTCTGTTTTATTTAGAATAAAAGGAATTTCTTTTTCATTCTCAGTTGTGATCAAGTAACAATGAATCTTATATCTATTTAGGTCGTTGAAAAATTATTAAACAGCAATATAAAGCAAGTGGTGAGTTGTCCTATCGAATCAGAATAAATGATAAAAACAGATTGTATGTACATTGTACAACCCTCACCCAGGCAAACACATTTTTGTTCACGATTTCCTGTATAGGCAAAATTAATCATACACAGAAAAAAGTACTTGCATATTCTCGGGGAGAGACACTGATCTGACAAATCTAAAGACTAATTACTTGTAAGTATTCTAAGTATAGAAAATGTTCTATAAAATTAAAAATTACATTGAAGCAAAGCTCTCGACGCGGCCTCCAAATAAAGGCCGCGACCCTTCCGTAGGCTGTTTGCTTGAGCTGTTGACTTACCTCGACCAAAAAAAACTCATTGTGTTACATCTTATCACAAACCTCGATATGAAACTTGCAATTTCAACGTTGATGTTGAAATCTACAACCGACAGCGCTTTTCAAATTTTTCCATTGTAATGGGCGATAGTAATAAAACGTTAATATTAGCTACGCGGAAATGAATTTTCTATTTCTATTGTTTTCGTTTTGTACTCGTTCTTTTAATTTTACAATATTGCTTTTAAAGGTTTTTTAAACTAATCGATATGGAGTAGATACGCCTTTAGATATGATTTATAAGTAGCTTTTATTACTAGCAAACAGGTAAATTGGGATAAATAAACCTATGGTAGTATATATATAAGCCTATTCAAAATACTCGTAAGTGGGATAGCGTAATGCAAAGAATAATATATTGATCATAAATAATATCAAATCCAGGTTACTCTGACATTGAACTGAATGAGCCATTCTAATGTAATACATGTAGGTAAATTGTCATTACGCTATGTCAATTCATTACAATCAAGTTGTTAATGATGATATTATCATAATATATATTAAGTAGATTTGGTATTACTAGGAACAATTAGTGGTTGTTTCTGATCATATACTTACATACTCTGCTGAAGCAACGGAATGAGTCTTGATCTCCGACCAGAGAATAAAAGAGAGCCTTTTCTTTAATCTTACGTAAGAAGAAAATCTTATAATTATTTTTAATTATCTCAAATACTTAAAACAAACTTCGTAATTGGCGTTTGATGTCGAAAACTAAGTTCGTACTTTTGACACAGGCAAGGAACTGTACAGTCCTGAAACAGACGGGCATACGGACGCGGCATCGGGACCACCCAAAGTTAGTTCTCGAACTAACTCATTTGAGATTGAAAATCTACTCAAGGTACTTTACAGGCACTTATTAAGAGTTCACCTCACCAGCTTGTGTGCACACTCGCAATACACTTCACCCGCTTGACTTCGTTTTCCGATCGTCTTCTCTAACGTATCATCCCTCTTCAGCGTCGAGAATTCTCGAGATATTCAGTTAATTAGTCTTTATCGTATTCCCGTGTTACAAAGGGCTTTTAGACTCAGCTCAATCCTAACATTATACCTCCATTGTTCTTTTCAATCAAGATTATATTGAGAACTTTTATGTTATAAAATATAAATAGTTTAATCAATTTTATTTTTTTAGTATCAATTAGTTTTTTGTAGTATAACTCTCCGCTGTACACTATCTTATTTTTTTTAAAGCGATTACAGGATACGTGAAACAAATAGAACTTGTTGGCCTTACTTATAAAATTATTTTTGCCTCAAAGGTACAGAAATTTGAGATTTTTACTTTTCACTTTCAAAAACCAACATCACTAACACATTTTATTGAATATCAAAGCGTCATCAACTTTATATTTTACGAATAACACAATTATAAGCAAAAACTCATTGTTACTATTAAATATAACACATAATTGGTTTATATAGTGATATAATAGAGAAGATGGCCTAAAATTGTCAAACACCTGGGATCCAATAATATCCAAATTAAAATCTCAAAAAGAAACACAATCCGCGAAAATAGAGGACACCGTAAGCAATTTTTGCCAAAACCATCCATCTTTTAGTCGATACCAACTTCGGGGAAATAAATACAGATAATGCAACTTTCTCTGCAGCTGTGATACTTTTTGACATTCAACATCTTTTGTCTTCAGTCACCGTGACCACGCACGCTGTAAAGCACGCGAAACGTCGGATAAATTTAAAATTATGTTAAATAGTTGTAAATTTATAATAATACATAACTTCAATCCGGTCAAAATAGTGTTTTATTAAATGAATAAAAGTTATGTTAATCAAAGACAATACATAATTGGTTGCTATATAAGTTTTCTTGTTTGCTAAGCGTAAAGTAAAACACTCAAACTTAAACAATTGACTTTAGCAGTATAAGTAAGGTCAAACCAACGCTTTCATTAGATGCTATATCTTCTGTAAGCTTATCATGGCGTCATCATTAGCCTAGAAATACGTGTATAAATAGTGTGGGGATGTGCGTCAGAGCGCGGAGCAGGTGACTGGGTGGTGCCGGTCCCCGGGTGACACGCGTCGCGCGAGCCCCACGGGAAGCCTTGCGAGCGCTGCGGTTACTCCCTCAAGGCACCTGTCTGACGCTGACAAGCTGAGGAAAGTACTCTTGGAACTGGTGGACACGGAACGCGCGTATGTCAAGGTATAGTGATGTGTGATTTATGTGTTCATATTTAAATTATTGTGTAGACTCTAAATGCATATTATTGTCTATTGGAAAATCACTTTAGTTACACCACGTTACATTCAGTGGCACTGTGTTTAACACATGTGAACTACAGCGACGAGTGATACAGTAATATAGTAAATATAGTAAAATTATACATTTGATAATATAAAAAGAATTTAATAAAATATAAAAATAAATATAATAACAATAAAAACAAAGAGCCGTTAAATAAAAATAAATATAAAAACAATAAAAATAAAGTGACGAACATTAAACGTTTATAATTATTTTTTGAAGCAATTACTATAAAAACTTTTGACTCGTAACGATTGTATGGCCGAGAATCAAATACAGGATGTAAATGCGAAGGTCGCACTTTACTGTCAAAATTGTCTACAATTTATCAATTGAATCAAATCAAAACTTAGCAGGTAATGGAGTATTGACGTGTAATCCTTCCAGAATAATTAGAAGAAGTTAGGATATGCTCGGAATCGTTTGCATTTGAAAAGTGGCATTTAGTAGAATTCCTTAAAATAAATATTTTAATAATAATAATTTATTTATTGCAAGAATATGGTACAAAATGTGTAAGGTGTAATCGTAAGTTCGCATATTCTGCCACACACAATGACGCGCAAATTTGTCTTTAAAGGAATTTTACGTTTTACATTATTAGTCAAATGAATTGGTCAATTCTTATATTATTTGTATCGTACATATCATATCATACTTTATTAAATTTATATTAACTACAGTGTCTCACGCAAATAATCATTTATTAAATTGTCAATTTTTTCCAAAAGTAATACACCAAGTCGCTTTTTAAAGACTCTATTCGGAAGATCTTTTAATACTTTTGGTAATTTATTGTAAACCTTAATTGCGATCTTTTATACTGTGACTTCGACGTGCATTTAAACTACTATACATAAAATATATGTTATACTGGTACTTAAAAATATGTATACTACATTTTGGAAAAATTATTAAAAAGTGTATTAATTAATCTGCTCCCAACGACCTCTCTCAGCCGAGTGCATCACTCCACCAATTGAACTGGAAATAATTCCGGACATGTAATTTCGATGCATCACATATCTGTAAAGATCCATGATTAAGAATTTTTTTATAGCAATGGTTTTAACTTTATGCCCAGTTTCAAGTTAGAGTTAGGGAAACTGAATTATATATTTCCTCTTTTCTTAAATCCCAATTTTTATGATAATAAGTGTCTAGGGCAATGGCAAAACTTTGGAACGATTTCATTAGCGTAAAAACTATTTGACCGTGATAACATGTAATAAAACTTCTGACTAAATAAAATCATAGATGTTGATTGAAATAATAGAATTTATCTTAACCTATAAAGTACTATGATAAAGAAGTCGTAAAACCTTATTTATGGCGATGTAATAATAATATACCGCGAAGGGCCCTCTGCATATGGGGCGAAACAATAAAATTGCGGAGGAAAACATGAATTACGATTGAGAAACTTATGTGGTCCTGACTTTTATTGTGATTAAATCTTTATTTTTTCACTGAGAGGAAATTTTATTGAGAATTTAGTGTAACCATAAGACTACCAGTTTCGTAGGTATATTATTGAGCGCAAATTTCTTCACCATGCATATAAACTAATTTATATGAGTTAAATATTAAAATAAAATCTTATCATCTTATCTTGTAATCGATTTGAGAAAAATTAACACTAAAAATTAAAACAATACAAAAAAAATGAGAGTGAGAAAATCTCCAATGGCAAAAGCTTTACGATTAAAAGTAGTTTTATATACAATTATCAAACAGTTGTTTTTTCACAGTAATGAAAATAAACATGATACATAGTAGTCACATTGTTTTGTAAAAATTGTTTTGTTTAAAGCGCGAAAGATTTAATCTTCCGAAGTGGATACGCCCGAGTATTATTTACCAAGTTGAAATGAATTTATAGCGGGCACGAACCATGCACCTGCGGCTTAGATTAAAATGTTCAAAGTTATTGTTGCTATCTGTTGTTGTTTCGATTCCACAGCACCTTAATAATTTACTGGAGAATTACTTGGAACCGCTGAAGAGGGAAACTTTTTTATCGAACGCGGAAATCAACGCTCTGTTCGGAAACATTCAGGAGATTGTAACTTTCCAAAGACAGTTCCTGCAAAACTTAGAAGAAGCGCTGGAAGCTGAACCTAACTTCCACCATTTAGAATTGTCTAATCAGTTCAAGGTAATTTTACTTGTACTGATTACTGTAATTTACTGTAATACCACTATTTAATATTTATGAAAACAGTAATTTTCAGAATCTCACTTATTCTACTAAAATTGTTTTAAAAGTCAGTAATACCTCCTTTGAACTCACCAATTTTGATTTTCCTAGAAACAATAACAGTGATAAATCCAATGGACCAAACTGTACTGGATCTAATTGAGTTCCAAAAGCTTTTTTTACTTCCTTTAAAGTAAATACAGTCAAAACCGTTTACGACGACATCGTTTCGAACAACATACCTGTTATATTGACCAAAATCAAAGGTCCCGGCTGAATTATATTTTATTGTGTACTAAATAACAACTTGATCGCGTGTTACGACCATCGGTTTTTACGACCAAGTATGAGTAGTCCTTTCGATGTCGTTACAACAGATTTTGACTGTAAATCAAAAGAAAGAAACCTTTTAACGAAAAAAGAAACCGATACCTTAACCTTATATTTAAATCTAAATACAAGAGTTTTCATTGCTGTATAAGTTTTCCATATTTAAATTTATGTGCTTTTATGAAAACTTTTCAGAATGTTCTATTCGCTGTTGGAAATGCATTCCTTTATTACGTAAATCACTTCAAATTATATAGCTCATTCTGCGCTAGTCACAGCAAAGCTCAGAAAGTCTTACATCCGAGTGAGTCAAATTATATTTATTATCTATTTTTATTTCCGTCTCGAGTGGCATTAGAAGTCGACTAGCTCTTATTAAATTCTCTCTTACTAATATATAGTATATTCCACTATATAACTGTCTATTTATAGAAAATGTTTAAGATGATTACTTTGCCAAATACAATTTAAAGGAAAACCGTATTTGATTTTCACTATTTTTCTTGTAGCTTATGTATCTCTTCTTAAACAGTTAATTGCTTAGAGATATTTACAGTACTGTATGTTTAAAACCCGCTTAAGATAGTTTCATTATGACTTTGCCAAAACACATCTTATGCATAAGCAATCTTTATTTAAAATGTTGATTAAATGTTTACTAAGGTAACTGTATTAAAAAAATATTTAATTATTCGCGGTCCACGGAGCTCTATTTTTAGTGTTATTCGTAAACATTAACTATATACTCTTATATCTTCTAATTATGCTTTCAGTAATTTGATTTTAATAATTAGTAGCTACAAAATATTTCACGATACAAAGAATTTAGTCTCATATATTTAAATTAAGTGTTTTAGCTTCTAAGCAAAGGAGCGCATTTGTAAATCTCGGAATGTATTTATAGATGAAGGCAACCAAGCGTTGCAAGAGTTCCTTGCGGCTCGCAATCCGAAGCAACAGCACTCATCCACTTTAGAATCGTATTTAATTAAACCGATTCAGCGAATACTGAAATATCCGCTATTACTTCAACAACTCCGAAATTTGACTGATGTCAATTCTGAAGAGCATCTTCATTTAGTTGGTGAGTTTATTTTACTAATCATGCAATTGATTTAATTAATGTCAAATTACTTATTTATTTTTTTAAGTTAAGTTGATACATTTATACTTTAAACTGAACTATAAAATCTTTTTTAATTTTTATTTGAGAATTACGCAAATTATCTGAGCCATAATATATCTTATTATAATTTTAACAGAGGCTTTAAAGGGTATGGAAAAGGTTGCTGAACATATAAATGAAATGCAACGAATACACGAGGAATATGGTGCTATCTTTGATCACTTATTTAGGCAACACCAAAAGTCATGCAAGCAACCAATAGACTTAAGTCCAGGTAAGTTCAGACACCAACCGTCATAATCTCAAATAAATATCCTACTAATATTAATATAACGCGAAACTTTGTAAGTATGGATAGATGTTTGTTACTCTTTCACGTAAAAGCTACTGAATGGATTTTAATGAAACTTTACAATAATATAGCTTATACATCAGATTAACACATAGGCTACAATTTATAAAGATATTGGGTGAATTGTTCAAAATATCAAGGAAGTAGGAAAAATCTACCTTCTGCGAGCTATTCTGGCGTGCGCTTCCAAAACCGCTAGAATACATATATGTAATGTATGATGGAAATGTTTATCTTAAATAGTCCTACAAAAAAGCCATTAAAAGTAGATAAAATATGTCTTTCACGCTATTATTTTAATACTGCGCAGATGAAGTCGCGGGAATCAGCTAGTTGTTTATATATCAATTTTCTTTAGGATAAGACTGTTAAAAACATAGCTAGGTTTATTTTCAAAGTTTTAAATATAGCTTTTCTTAAATTCACCATGTCTGGTACACAGAAATCTATACAATACCGTATTGTATCAAATTATTCACAATCTATTAACTTTTAAATAAAACCTTTAAACTAAGGCAATGCACTTTAAAATATAGTCTAAAGAATGCTGCACATGATAATAATAAAAAAAGTTAATAAAAAATAGTAATAATAAATAAATAAAATTAAAAAGGCTTAATCCCCGTAGCAGTGTTCTTTTAGTGCTACCAGCATTTTTTCGCTGTATTGCGAATACTTATTCCTTGAGCAAGGAAAGCACTAGCTCGGGTAGCCGGTACTACCAGACGCCTTCACATAAAATGATTTTTAAATATATTATCAAGCTGTATTTGAAAGAAAGAAAAAATATTTTGATGTTGATTGTGATTGTTTCAATCAAAAATGGGCCCAAGGCTTTAAGTAGCTGTTAGCAGCAACACATTTTCAGTGGGCCATACTACGTTGGAGTGACAGTATACATTGACGAAAACAAAGATGTAAACAAATAAAATACAATTACTAAAAAAAATATAAAAAAATTACCAAACAAACATAAAATATAATACAATACAACTAAATTCTCAACTCAGTTGACTGACATCCAAAGCTTTTACATTTTATGTAGTAAAACGTATTAAATGTCGTGGATTGGAGGTGGCAGGATGTACCAACATTTAGTTGCATTGAATCGTAAACGACCACGAAAATACACTGTTCTATATTTAGGGACAATAAGCAGTTTTTTCCCTCGCGTATAATACGTTTGACTTGTGTGCTATATAAATTTTAGCCGTAAATCACCAAAAAGCAGCGAGGAAAGATGTAATTATTCAAATCTCATGTTAGTAATGGAGCGTAATATATTTCATGTGTCCGTTTTACAGACCATTAGGTAATTTCTAGATAACTTTGTGAACTACTCCAGTAGTGAGTCGTATCGCTTTAAATCTAACTTTAATTTATCTTTCCTCTTTTATAACGTCCACAAATAGGTGATTATTTTACTATTTTATGAATTTCCTTACGAAGAACTTGTAATTTTATTTATTTAAAAGTTAAAGACGCAATGCAAAGTATTAATAGAATACGAACAAATCTTAACATTAAAACACTAGTTATAGACAAATAATTAATGAAAACAAAAATAAGATAAATACCAGTTAAAGGAAAAATACATGTACCTACGGGAATTCAAAATAAAATCTATTGGTGTCACAAAACTTCTAGTACAACAGTACTTTCTAAATAAACTTATAATAATATAAATTATAATTAATTTATAATAGTAATAATAAATAACTAAAATAATGTGCGAGTGTATTTTTACTACTAATAAATAAATAACTAACCTTAACATAATTATGTTTATATAATATATAATATATAAATATAAATTAATTATAATTTATATTATTATAAATATATATAATAACTAAAATATATTATTAAAAGGAGTCCCTTTAGGCAAAGTTCCGAAGATACTGGCAGCGTTCCCCCTTTGAATAGCTAGATAATTATAATTATATTTCAGGTGATTTGCTATATTACGGAGGCGTAGAGTGGTTAAATATATCAGACTTCCTAGGAAAAATTAAAAAGGGACTAGAATTACACGCAATGTGTTTTGTATTTAAATCAGCCGTTGTCTTCCTTTGCAAAGAAAGACTGAGACAAAAAAAGAAGTTGATGGTATGTAATTTACATTAACTTTCTTTTGTTTTAAAATTTGCCAATTGTATAACTAATTCGTGTTTCAGGGCGTTTCGTCAAAGAATAATTCCAATGAAGTAGAGATAATTAGGTATCAAGTGTTAATACCAGTTACTGAGGTACAAGTTCGTGCTTCTTCAGCTAAAGATATGGACAGTCACTTCTTGTGGGAGCTCATACATTTGCGAAGCCAGCTTCAGCGTCGCTCGGAAAAAGTATATGTGCTGTCTAACAGGTGGGTTGTTTCAAGTTAATTGATTGAGGAATGATAAGATATTGTGTTGTTTACAACTTAAATACTAATAAATGTTTACTTGTGAGTAAGTAATAGCTTTGATATTGTCTTAAAAATATAACATAATAAAACTGTATATTGTAAACGTTTACTCTCCTTAATATAATCTCTAACAAAACTATTTTAAATTTCCTCACTTGATTTCAAAATTAAGAAAAAAACTTAACACTTTTCAAACATTGTTCATACCAACTGTTTATTGATTGTAGCGGTGAAAACTATTCTAATCACGTGTAATGTGTGCTTATTATTAAAAATCCCAATAATAAAAATATTTAACTCAAACTTTTATCTACAAAACTAACAGTAATCACCAATCTTTACTATTAGAAGACTTGCTTTAACACAAGCTTAAGCTTAAGTTGAAACCATACAAATTTCAGTACGGCTGACTTCCGCAATGCCTTCCTCAAGACAATTCGTCAAATAATACGTGAGTCGGTTCGCAATATGTCGCTACCGACCACTCGGCCCGCGCCCACACCACCGCGAGCGCCGCACACGCTCGACAGACCTAAGCAACAGGTGCGTAGACATTCGTAGAACAACGTAGCAGTCCGTAGCGTTGTAGAAGTATAAGTTTAAGTATCCGTAGTTGTAGAAGATTGTAGCACTTTGTAGTTCTCGGAATTACAAATATTTTTACTTAATTGAATAAATAAAAATTAATTGAACAAATGAGTATAGTTAATTATTTTAATGGATTCATACTATGGGGACGTTCAAGTATTACGTAAGCATATTTACTACAGCTTTCCCCCTCTCCCCCTTGTTAGCAAAAGTCATCAAAGGTCTTAAATGGTATTATGGGTTGCCATATGAGTAAAATTGTAAATAATTACTCCTGACGTAATCACCATCTATATCCCCCCACGTCATCAAAAATAAGAACCTTTGTAAGAAAAGAAAGTAGAGAAAATTAAAGACAACTATATTGATTACGTAATACTTGAACTACCCCTATCATTAATATCTTATTCTAACCCTTAGGATTTTAATTTTTTTGTGACCTTAGTGTTATAAAATAGATTACTTGGCAAAGTTTTAAGTTATTCCCCCGAGTGCTTTGTGTTAATAAATCAGACTACTAAAACTAATTGTTTAATATATATTTTGGCTAAGTAATTATCGGTTTCCAACTGTCATATCCTCAAGTCGTACTTTTAATATAAATATAATTATTGTAAAACTTATCAATATTTTTTCAAACTTAAAACTGATTTCTTAACTTATTTATAAATACACTAGCTGATCCGGCAAACGTCGTTTTGCCATGTTTATCATTTATAATAAAAAATAGGGGTTGATCGTAGAGGGGTGAAAATTAGGGGTTGTATGTATTTTTTAATGCTGTATCATAAAAAAATAAAAATAATTTTTTTTTATCTAAAAATAAAAAAATAAAAATTAGGGGAGAACTACCCTTAACATTTAAGGAGATGAAAAATAAATGTTGTCCGATTCTCAGTTATACCCAATATGCACACAAAATTTCATGAGAATCGGTCAAGCCGTTTCGGAGGAATTTAACCACAAACACCGCGACACGAGAATTTTATATATTAGATATAAAAAATATATTCAGAGGAATAGAAATATAACGAGATATGTAAATGCCCCAGTGATGCAATAGAATAGTAAAAAATTCAATTTACTGAAATTGGGTCACTGCGTTAGGCATCTAGTTGTAATAAACGAGATGAATCTGACAAACTAAATTTTATTTTCTCGAACATAACTCTTTTACATAGCAATCCACTTATGTTGACTAAATCTTTTTTTTTTAAAGAGACCAATTCTTCAATATCACTATTGTACTTTGGTCAAGTAGGCATTGTGTAATCAATTCTTAATGTTTTGTGATTGTAATGTCGTGTTACAGATTTATTTATTAAGCCTTTATTGCTGACACCCAGTACAATATAATAACAATTTAAGTTACATAAAAAAAACCAGATTAGCTAAGCATGATTTAATCACTGTATGAAATTAATACAAAATAAACATTAAGTTCACTACTTTTTATAACAAGAAATAAGCGTACGAACGCATAAACATTTGACAGCCAATATATATTTCAATCCTTTTTCATTACTAACATACATTTCTTAAATCTAATATTCGCAATTTTTTGACTATATCTTGTATATATCCAAAATATTCAGATAAAATCTTACCTTAACCTAAATACTTTTTTTTTGTTTACCGTATCGACGGGATGAACATTAAATGTTTGAGTAATGGTGAAATTTCTGTATTTTTATATTCTCACTTATAATACCACAAGAGCTTCAAAATTATCGGGTATATCCCGATAGGTTCGTTGCAAACAATTGAAGGAGTCAAGTTTTTCACTTTCACAAACTTGACGACTTTATTTGTTTGCAGGGAACCTTGAGGGAAATGCCAGATAATTTTGAAGCTCGTGTGGTATTCGGGGGATTATTTTTCCGACCCAAATGTCGGCCAATAGAATTGCACCATGAGACGAAATGTACAGTTAACAAATAAGAATTTCATAATGAATAAAACAACTACTTAATACTTTTCTTGAAGCAACTACCAGAGAAAATTTTCAAAAAATTATCAGTATAATACCATGTAGGTTGTACCACGTGACGTCGAATGGTGCAATTCTATTGGTCGATATTTGGGTCGGAAAAATAATCGCAAAACATTCTTATTTGTCACACTTTTGATGTTATTCTAATACTTATGACAGAATGTATCAATCATCAATTTATTAGAATGAAAAAAAAAAAAAAAAAAAAAAAAAATAAAGATAGGTTTTTAAGATAACATGTATCACTTACAGTCAATTAAATTACAAAAAAAAAGAAGAAAAGGTTCTTTTAAAACGCATATAAAACAATTCAACAAAGTCTTACTTACAATTAAATTACAGGTTCAAGTAATGCAAGGATCGCAAACCTTAGGGAAAACAAAGAAACCGAAAACATCTGGACAGAGATTATCTGCTGGTAACATAGAGGTGATTTGTTTTTTTAGATATTACGCTAATAAGATAACCTTCACTGAATACCACTGAATACTGAAATTAATGTTTATTGAGCGGTTTAGTATTTGCTTTCCAATAATCTTTTAAGACATTTCTTTAATCTTGAAATTTTAATATTTTTAATATAGTATATATATTTTATATAATATATATATTTTTTATTTTATATTAAAAATATCCTATTTATAAAATTATACTAAAACAGAATTACATTTACCAAAAATCTAATTTTTCGTAATTAATTGCAGAAAAAACCTTAACGCAACAAATATTTTTATTTCTAATCTTTTGATTTCTTCGAAGGTCGGTAATCTGTCACGAGATAATTCTCAAGACGCCGAAGATACTCCGCAAGAAGAAGATCACTCGTTCAGACTTAGAAGCAAAACAGTCGGTGAGGCACCAGGTATTTATATACCTTACGACGTTATAATATATTTCTAACATTTGACGTAAACATTTTAATACTTTATTAAATAAAAGAACTAACTTCAAGTACTTGTCATAACAACAACTGTAATTGAAAAGAAAAAATATCATTTATTCACTTAAGTTCAAGAAACCCATCTTAAAAACTACTAAACCGATTTTCATTAAACTCGAAGTATTCCCTAAGTTATACATACAACCATTTTTACACTTGAAATATAGTACGTGCTCAAAGCTTTAACAAATTATGAGACTTATTATTGATTCCATCAATATCAGACACAGGTGAAACTGATAACTTCCTTTTAATGAAGTCGGTTAAAAAGTTGATTTGTTTATGATAGCATACTCCATCAATAATCCGTCACATTAATTATTATCAAAAGTTGTTAGACTCCGGATCGAAGGACCGATAATTTTACGTTGTTTTATTATTATTATTTACTTCGCCTTAATTTAAAAATATAGAACTGCTCATATCGCGATTTTTTGAGATACAAGTTTACTGAAAAAGTTAATAGAAAATCGCTGGTAGGCTCTTAGGATCAATTCCTAGAAAAACTAATCTAAACATGTATTAATTATGTTTATACAATTTATAATATTAAAGCGTGTGAGAGCATAAAGCGCACTCCGCCGCCTCCGCCGCCCACAGACACGGAAAAGTCAGAGGGCGGGTCTAAGTCCGAAGGCGAAGACGAACCCCCAGCACCACCCGCCAAGAGAGGGTTAGGACGCACTCCCAACCACCTCACGCTCAGGTACACATGTATGGGTCATATGAGGCTACGTGCGCACTGACAGTTATAGGTTAATTGATATGTTTAATAAAATAAACTAATATCATAATAAATACCTAAAGATTAATTTAAACACAAATCAGATCCAACGTTCCGTCGTACTCTAATTATTTATTAAGAAAACCTTACAGCTTACTAATTATATTTAAAAATATTTTTTAAATATAAACAGCATTTTAGGTTTACACACTAAATAATAATATTACTGAGACAATGCGTGTAGTGGTGTGTATTTATGTGTAACTGAAGCGTAATGTAAAATCTGGCTTGATTCAGTAAAGAAGTCTGTCTATTACGAAACATTACTAAAACATATTATGCTTAAAAACTGTTTTAATAAAATAGTTATGTCTCTTTTCATCACAGCTTAAGCACAATTTGACAGAAAGGGACAAAAGACTACTGTAGTAAATGGAGTGCAATTGGACTATTACTTTATGAATATACACAAAACTTTGTATATACTATATACTGCTTAACATTGATTGTTTCTATAGTTTCCATAAATTCATAGAAAATATGTTTTATTTTTGTCTGTCAGTGCGTTGGTAGTAATACTCGCCTACTTCGATTGGACTCACATTTGTTTTCAGTTGCCGCTAAATTTCAGTAGGTTCGCTCTTTACTCATACATATGTACGCTCATTAGAATAGATTTAAGCTAAATAGAAAAAAATGGATCATCAAATAAAGTAATTTTTTGTTTATCTTAAAATTTGCTATTTTATAATTTTACAGTATGACCCTTTTTCTGTTTAGCTTACAGTAGTAATTAGATGCCTTATTTTATAATATTTTTTATATGTGTAAGACTTTTTCATTTAAATTTTGCTTGTCTTTTAAGTTCGTCTTAGTTTAGTATTGATTCAATTCATTTAGCAATTTGAGAAGCACTTTTGCTTATAAACTATTTGTTTACTCAAAGTTTCCGAAATTATGAATTATTATTAATTTTCCAGCACAACATCGACCCTAAGCGCTGGAAGCACTGGTAGCCAAGCCCGCCTCATTCAATCGTCGCATCAACCCACCCAATATCAACCCACTATGGTCAAAGAGCTAGGTAAGCAAGAGTCACAATCTTTAAAATCTTCTCCCGAAAAGAAACCCTCAGGATCCGAGAAGAAGATTAAAGTCATCCGCTCCGGCAGCGGAAGCAACATTCACAGAGAGAGATCTCCCAATAGATGCGATCGCTCCCCCGATAGGGACAAGGTCACCAAAGTCATCATTTGCAAGTCTCCCAACAAGTCCAACCTTAAGCAGTCCAAATCCCTCCACCGTTCCCCTCGTGGTAGCTTCGACCAATCGAAGTCCCCCACAATCGACAAATCCCGCTCACCGCAGCAGAGCTTCGACGGCTCCAAGTCCCCTCGCGGAAGCATCATGAAGTCCCGCGAAAACAGCATAGATAGAGCGAGATCACCGAAACCGGCCCCAAAAAAGGGCATCATGCGAACACCTCAGGCCAGCTTCGACAGGTCTCCTTGCAAATCGCCTAACGTGAGTCGGCGCTCTTCTAAATCCAGCGGCGAGAAACTGGCCCGCCTCGGAACCAACTCCTTGGACAGGATGACCCACTATTCTCAATTGGCGAAAGTGGAAGATAAGGCAATAAAGATGGGGATCGTCGTGTCCAAGTCCACTGAATCAATCGCTAAAGCGATTGAGCGTCCCACTTGTGTCGAGTGTTATTTATCGGGGAAGAAGCAGAGTAAGACCTCTTAGCATAAGGGGAGGGGCAAGTACCCGAAAACTCGTAAGAAATCAACGGCGCCCCAGTCCATTCTGACGTCATCGGACCGCAGCAGTGTGGAGACTCTGGACGACGTTGCGCACGAGCGAGGATATTGCCCTTCATCACGACAATGCGCTACGAGTGATTTTGATCAGATTCACGTTTAAATTGATTTTATACAGAACACAACACAATCGGAGCCGTATATAATTTACATGTCATTAATAATATATCAATTGCACACACTTTTGCCTTAGTTTTGTCATCAACTTGACTTTTACTTGACCTTTTAACAAGACTAGAATGCGGCATAAAAATAATTAACGTGTCGCAGCAATGGCTGGTGGCTGGTGTCAGCTGTCATTGTCATTATAGTTTAATAACATCAACTTCAAAGTCAAAACCGTAATATGGTTTATTTGCTTTGTTAATGTTTCTTGATCTATAAATTATACTATTTGATAATCTGTAGTATTAGTAACTAAATTTGTATGAAAATTTGTGGGGTCGAACTGTCATTTTCATACAAATTTAGTTTCCGACTTTCTACATCTACTACTATTAAGGCATCTTGACTATGACCCCAGTCATTATTATTAATGTCAGATGGTGTTAGTGTCAGCTGCCATTGTCATTATAATTTGATGACTATCTGGAGTCTTTATTATTATCGACTATTGAATAGTCGTTAATTAATAGATCTAGTTACATTAACAAATCAAATAACCCATATTACGGTTTTGAACTAATTTGATGTTGATGTTATTAAATTATAATGATAATGGCAGCTGATTCCAGCGCCATTATTCCGATAAATATAATAAAAAATTTACCTGAAAGGTGAAAAAATATCCAAATTATATGCGGTATAGTTGTTCTGTATTTTGGAAAGTAAATGACACTGCTCTATCGACTGGTAAATGGAATTGACTAGAGACTTGCTAAGTAATCGTATTCAATTTTACTTATATGTAACTTTACATATTATAATCGAAACACCAATAAACGTAGCAGTAGCGTAGACATAACACCAATATTGTTACCAGAATGCTAAGTTCAAAGTATGTATACGTAACATTTTAACCTATTGAATTATATTGAAACCATGCTTAGTGTAGCTAATTGCACTTACGATAAGAATAGCCGTAAACAGAGTCGTTCATTATCTCTTATAAATATCTCAATTAACGGCTGGAAGTCTTCCAAGCTTCAGAAGATACTTTCTTTTGCGAACTAGTGAATTGTGGAATCGACTCCTGATTGGGGTCCTGGGAGATACGAACTCCAATTGTTTAAAAAAAAGAGTATATTCCTCCCACAAAGGCTGGCAACGCAAATATATGGCCTGCGATGACTGCCCTTTTTGGGCGCCCTGTATGCTTGTCCTATAAAAAATTATGATTTTAAAAGCTGATTACGAAACCATAGAGCGATTTTAATCGTTATTCTGTGCTCTTATTCACAATATATGTCGTAATTGGTACGAGCCGTTAATTTCCATATTTATTTATTCACAGCCGCAACAACAATGCCACTGTAATAAAATACACACTCAAAATACAGAGATACAAAAAAATAATGTATATGTATGTATTTTTTGGTTCTAAGGACCTCTTAGTGAGTATATGCCTCTTCCAATTGGCTCCATCTCTCTCTATTTCGAGCATTTTTTCCCAATCTCCTCCACCAACTTCCTTGAGCTCTTCAGCCCACCGTGCAAGAGACCAACCTCTCTTTCTTTCAAAAGAGCCACTATAGGCATTTTAAAAAACAATAGTAGTGAAGATATAGAAAGATATGAACGACTCAGTTCGGCTGTCGTAGTAACAATAATTTTAAATAGATGACGTAATCATAATATTCAAACTTTAATCCTAGTATCCAAGTGCTAAGTGTTAAATTTAATGGCTGTGGAATCGAACTGATGTGTATCCTTAACATTATTCAATTATAACCATAATTCATATTTCAATTTTTTCTATTATCTTTAAATATAATCAATAAATTTTTACATACCATTTATTAAGTCTTCCATTTCTTAAAACATTAAATCATTTATATAATTTTATTACGTGCTCAATTTAGAATTAAATTAAAATATTTATTTTTACTATCATCTTTATCCTGATACACTTTTAATGTGATATTTTATATTTGGTTGGTAATTAAGCATAAACTCTCTCTAAACTATTACATAATATAAACTATGCATTAATCATAACTATTTAATGACTATCTATAATCGTAATACACTTAAATACGTAAATAATAATTCAATTACCCAAACAATATGTAGATTAAGTAGAACTAATATAAGAATAGCAAATGCACGAATATATACTTTTCCTCTTAACGATCGCACATCCATGTAAGACCCTTTTTGAACCTGCGTTGGTACTATGTAACTTCCAATAGAAAGAGTATTGTAGCTCGCACTATTAAGGGATCGAAATTGCATATAAAAACGTAAGAAATCGCTGGAAATTACAGAGTAGCGACGCTGCACTTGTTTTTGCTCTTACTACACAGGTTGCATTTATTTTTCTTCGATATTAAATTTGAATGTTCGATGATAATGTTGATAGTGAATTTTCTTATCCCGTCAATTCGTCGATTTATGTTTGTTTGGCGAAAGATGTTAACTGCAGACGATATATGTATTACCTTGTTATTCGATTGCAGTCTGACTAGGGAATTCAAACTGTGCTTGCGTACACATTTCAATCCATAAGTATACGCTGACTTAATACATCTGCGTTGAACTTTAGATCAAACAGCAAGCTGTAATTTATAAAGCGTTCTACACTTAAATAACAAACAGAATAGAGAGTTAGTTAGAACTTGGACAAGCTTTTAGCTATGCGAGTTCTTAGGCCAGACTTCAGAAGACTATAAATTAGATTACACAGAGTAAAAACTCATTAATGTCTGGCATAATCTGTGCTACACTGAGTACGCTTTATAAATGTCAGCTAATACAAATATTTGACAGATGTATATTTCCATTGCGTGTCAAATTCATAGACATCAGACTCATTTACGACATTTTAAATGTACGCCAGCACAGCGTTAACAACATTCATCAAACATTCAACTCTTTTCGCGGCTCCGCATTACCCTGGATATATATTCTAAATTGTCGGTCGTGTGAACTCAATGATAAAAGAGTTCGGTGTTTGGTGTGTTGTAGGGTCTCCGGTGTGGAAACCGCGCGAGGTGTCGGAGGCCCCCGCCCCCACCACCCTGCCCCGCTCGCAGCGCCCCGCGCCTCGCGCCCCTCACCTCTCCGCCAGTCGCAAGTCGCTGGCGCCGGACCACAGGCATTAAAGCGCATTCAAGATTGTCTAATTCATAAATAAAAATAGGTACCTACCGTTTCTTTTTTAGACCACATGCGTAACCTATTTAATAATTTTTGGATTAACTCGGTTCTTTAAGGAGGAAGATTATTCAGGAGTTGACTAATATAATAGATACTGTATCCCTGGCAAACACTGACTTACTCAGTTTCCTCGCCTAAACGAGGTTGTATTCAGGAGTTTCTGAGTGTACTACGTGGAACCTTCAGATCACATACAATTATAAGGCTACTTAATAAAAATAGTACCTAATTTATTGAATAACTGAAAATGGATAATCTCATTAATTAGGTATATTTCTGTCACAATTATTAGCCTCTCCCTGTAATAGGTACTCAGGCGTTTAACTAACAGTATTTGTAAAGCGTCTGTAATTGTGTTTTATGAAACAACATAAAAGTCGGCTATCACTTAAAAAGGTATGATCAAAGTAAAGTTATTTACCGGAAATACTTTTAGACGCAAGAGCTGAACGACAACTATATTTCTTTTTAACCTAAATAAATGTAAACATTGATTTTTTTATTAAATAATAGCAACGTCGTCCAACGGATTTTATTTTTATCCTTTGGGCTCAAGGGTAATTTTAAAATCGAATGAACGCGTGATGCTTGTAAATACTATCGAAGTCTATTTTTAACCATATCCTTGTACCGTCACTTTCAAATCAAGACGGGATATCCCTAATTGAAATTGGTGATGGATATGTATAAATAAGATTTCTATAGCCGTTCAGCAAATGTAGCGAAATTAGCAAAAATCGTCATGGAATAACTTGATTGTTAGACAACAAAGAACAATGTTATTAAAAAATTGTTAATGCCAAAAAGAATACCTTTTGTTTTTAATAATTTTGTAAGAGCTAAACGTGTACTATCCCTGGTCAAGACTGTAATACGACATTTTTAATTCATAATTAGTCACAATTTCCTTTGCTAATAAGATAATCATAGTGTAATACGCGTACCTTTTCTTGGCACAGTGGAATTTTCAATACTAACCAAACTGCGGAAGGTGCAATTAGATAAATTAATATTGAAATTATTTCTAGTTTAATTCGTTGTTCGTTTAAAGTATATATCGATTTATGTATACACAACTATGCGATAGAGAACACATGAAATTTAAATTATTATAGTATATAGTAATATTGAGACCTGTGCCAAACTAGATTCTCTCATCCTGCGCTTCGTACTATTGAATATAAATATATATATATCGTGAGAGTAGTTAGATGTAATCTACTTGTGTTTAATTTCACATTGGCAATGAATCTCACTATAGTTCGAAATGCACGTAACCTATGGAAAGTACGTTAGGTAGTTTTAATAATTTCTCTTCGTGATCAAATTCAAAAGTTCTATCATAGGCTAGGTGTAAAAGTCACACTTTAAGTTTCATTTATTTACTAAAGTATGACATAGCACTAATGTTATTTCGTTATTTAGAAAAATATAACATTGATATTTTAAAACCATAATAACACTGGTTTGGTAGACATCAACTATTCTTTATAATTGTAATCTTGTTGTACGTGAGTGTTACGTAGTATTTGTGTAATTTAACGATTAATTTTAACTAAAGTTAATTCAGAATAATATTTAAATGTCGCGCACAAAATTATAATACGT